TGGACACCACTACAAGGGACACCACTACCACACGGCAGGAGTAAGAACTCATTTTGAACAAACCAGTGACTGCCATTGGCAGTGTTCCAAAGCCATGAGATATTGGCCTGTCTTTTTTAGGGTACCCCCCAGACTGGTGGTTTTCCTTCTGGTTCCTCTTGTTCTCAGATTCCCCGCTAAATACTAAATCCGCTAACTTTCAGCTTGCCACCAACAGGGATCCGGATGCACTATACACCTGAACCTTGCAACTTCTAAATGCTGGTGTCCAACTTTATTTTGTTGAAAAAAAAGCCACATGTTTCCACTGGTGGCAAAATTTGTATCGATCTTTTAAGGAGCCCTGACCAAGAAGGTTCCCAAAAAGATGAGCCACCCATATGGCCATGGGTCAAAATCCCAAAGCCCGTTCCCCCAGTGAACATCCGATTCAATCCAACCACTAAAATAAAGCCTAAAATGGGTGGAGAATTCACCTAACCCAAAATGGGATCCCATTGGTGTTGACCCACAGCTGTCAGATGCGTGCTGCCGTCTTTTTTGCAGCCAAGCGGCAAATTGCGGCACCCGCTGCAGCTTGGGAGGGATGGGCCGCAGCAGCCCTGCCGCATGTCGCAGGCCAGATTTCTTGGGAGCGACCATAGGTGTCCTTTTGGCAACTAGATGGCCCTGGCAAATGGAAGACACTCCATCTAAACCAGGGCCTATTTTTTAAGCAAACCAACCAAAAAGGACACCTATAGTGGCGACATGCTTACACTGCCTCAGAGTAACAGCCGGAAGCCTTCCAAAGGCGGTCCGTTCGGGAGCTTCCATGAAATATCCTGGAGGGCATACTTGAGCTGTTTATGCCTTGCAGCACAAAATGCTTTGGGAACTTGCACTGTGCAAGAAATCAATGAGACACGCATGGACTTAATTGAGGCAAGCGAAACAACTGAGCGACCAAATTAACGCTCGCCATGCTCCAGTCTGACGAAAGGCCGTCAGCTGGCTTCATCAAAGCCATCTAATAAAACACACTTGCCGGATTGACAAGTCGAAGGCTCTTTCTCCCCAAGGCCTATGCGAAAGCAGCGCCAAACAAACCTCGGTTGCTTTCTGCTCCCCTGCTAAAAGTTTCACTTTTAGTGTTTTAATACGGAAAACCCCTCAGTTGGCAAAAAGTTGTTCAGTCCTAACACCCAGACAAAATGCACCAAAGAAAATGCAACATGCTTCTGAACTTTTCTGGGAAGTCTGGTATCCATGATCCAGACGTGCGAACTGTGCGTAGCTTCTTGCCAATCCTCACTTCCTGAGTGGACTGGCCAAAAAAGTCCGAACTTTCTATGTGCCACTAACATGGTCCGTCCAAAAAAGTGTTTGAAGTCCATGAACTCAGGGACTGAGAATCAATAGTGAATCATGTCGGGTAGAGATTAGAAAACAGCAATTCAGACAAACCGTCCAAAATTATTCGCCGCGGAAATACAGAGCAGAATTGTGTGATGTCCCAGAAATCCTGATTTATTCCTAGGTGGCCGACGTCCAATTTCTAAACCGGTACGAAGCAGTGCTGGATCAGCACAATGCAATACTAAAAGGACTCCTTTCCCAAGGAACCTTCACCAGCTCGCTAAAGGCCCCATTTCTCCGGGAATTTCCTCACGGCAACGCCCATCGGTGTGCTGGTGGCAAACACGGCCCATTCGAATGAACATTGATCTAAACCAGTGGAACCCATTTGGGTGTGGCTCCAAATTAAAGAGCTGGGGCAAACCGCAGGTTCTGGCCCATGTTTCCACTTACCAGGGCAACTCATTTTGGAATTCCGCTTTTTTGAGCCACAGCCATTTATTTCTAGCCAAACCAAGCGATCAAAAGGACGCAGATGGCGCCGCGATGTCTCACCCCAAAGCCGCAGAAGAAAAGAAAACCACGAGAAGAAATAACGCAGATCGAGATGCCTGGAAACTCGACACCCGCCTGCCGTAGGACAAACTTTTTGCGTTGCGCCAGAGCTGTCTCAAGTCTGCAGACAATGCCCCTTGATAGGGGGGGGGAATCGCACGCGAGGGCTTCTATACATGGCGGACAGAGTGGGGTTGCCAAAAGAACGGACAGACCCCGGTCACCAGAGATGCTTGTCTGCCAGCACAAAGTGCCAGGTTTCAACTGTACCACTACTATGTCCTCCAGCAGAGAGGTCAGAAGGTACCAACTTTTCTCTGGTAGTCTATTTTTGGGGAACCCTCCCCGAAAAAAAGACTACAAGGGCATTGCTGGGGGACCTAGACTGATTGCAGGTCGGCAGAATCTGAATTGTTGTCGTGGGTCTTACGGAGAAGCACACAGCGCATTGTCATCACGCAATCAGCAACAGTGAAGTGAAGTCCCGGGTTGCGCTCCTTTGACAACGACCCACGTGCGGAAAGGGCCAATAACACACACGCAGCTGGCAGAAACATCTGGAATCCTGACAGCTACTGGACCAGCCGAAACCTACGACGCGCCCCGAGGCGCGTTGCTTTTGCATGGTCCACCACCTATCGGATTTGTCCCTGCGTAGGAAAAATGCGTCCAGCGCAGCGCGTGCCAGGGGTGGGATGACTAGAGTGATCTGCCCAGCAGGTTGCACTGTCGGTTCGCAATCAGGAGTCAATACCTCAAGCTGCCGTGGTTCAACCTGTTACCGGCCCTGAATAGATCTAGAGCCTTCAACGCTCACAAGCTCTGCCAAGAGGTTGTGTTGTTGAGACTCATCTACTAGGTCCTCCAGTAGAGAGGTTAGAATAAGGGTACCCTTCTTTCTGTAGTCTATTTTAGTAGGGGAACCCTCCCAACCAAAAAAAAAACGGTAAAAGGGCACCACTGCAAAACCTAGTCTAGCAACTTCAGACCCGGCCCATCTTCGCGGGAAACCTCTTCGGGTACGTGGGACGCTACGGGAGGCCTGCAAAGAAGTCTCTGCTTTGGGGCCCAAATTGTGGGGACCAAGACTGTTGTGTGATCAACAGCTACCTGCACCCAGGCATAGCTGCATGCTTAATGATTGCTGGGGCTTCCAAACGCAAGCTGACAACGACCATCAATGTCCCTATACCACATCTAGCCTACATCCGCCAACAAAACTGGCAACCAAATCTAAAACCACGAACCAACCTTGAAACAAATATAGCGTGACGGAGCCACCCGCGAACGCACCCCTTCACCTTTCCACACTTGCCCAGGTGGCACCAGCCCTTGCATACGCGCAACTTACTCACGAGCTCATAGCTGAGAGGTCGTTCTGAAGCAAGTCAGGGCTCGGGCAAACAGGCATACTGGGGAAGCATGGCAAACCTGAAGGGGGACAGCCGAATCAGAAATCCACTTTACGGCACTTCTCCTCAGGTCATCCCCGGCTCCACGGGCGGGCGGAAAGGTGTCTCACCAGCTTTATGCCTTCGGCGCCAAACAACGCCAGAATCGCTGATGGCCTCAGAAGTCGTTGGCGACTTCTGCTAGGAGTACCGTTTTGGCCGGATCCCCTCACCGGCCACTTCAGAGGGGTCGCATCTAAAACAAGTTGGCAACACATGCCAAGACCAGGCAGGTGAAAGGGAAGAAGATGTCGGGAGTTCTTTTCAAGACACGTCATGGGCTCATATCAAGGGGCTCGACCGCATTCCCGGGAAGACATCTCCACAGGTGCCGCAATCTGCCACCGCCGGGGCTGCCGTACATTGCCATAGGTCAAAAGCCCGTGCCCCCAGTGAACATCCCAATCCAACCACTGAAATAGACTCAAACATGGGTGGTGCACCTATCCCAAAATGGCATCCCATTGGTTTTGACCCACAGCCACATAGGAACAGTCATGTGGAAAGACTTCAGTGCAGAGTTGCTGCAGTGACGGCCTTCTAATTGTCACAAGCCCGGTCAAATCTCCCAACAGTCGAGAAACAAGCACAAGGCCCATAAAAAAGCAGAACAACTTGTTTACCCCATTGTGCTTGTGCAGCGGAACTCTATGTACACTCGATCACGTGTGCCTTGCAGCTGCGAGGCACGCTATTTGCAATTTCTTTCGAATTACTGAAGAGTTGGAAAAGAAATGGCCGCGAAAGATCGCGAAAGACTGAAGTACGGCCATCTCCGGTAAAATCCAAATCCGCATCTATGAGGGCCGTGTCCTGGTCATTCTTTGTCGAAATGGAGCTGATGGATTGGATCCAGAAGCTCGTGAATGCCGATCACTTTTACCTGACCCGTAAGCAAGCCGAGCACATGATCGTGTGAGCCAGATTTGGACCCTAGCCGCGCGAAGTCCGTGGCTGTCCGTCCCCTTGAGGTTCTTTGGCTTGGATCCGCACCGTTTGCCAGCAGCAAACGAACTAGATCGTAGTTTCCCAGCAGCGCCGCGATGTGAATTGGGTAGATCATCTCGGCTTTGGAGGAAGGTCTCGGCAAATGCACCCCTTGGAACTTGTGCTTCTGAAGGAAGGCGCGCAGTTGGGCTCTCTGCAAGCTACGCCTGCTCCCACGCCGCCTCACAGTGAAGTCGTCCGGCAAGTCCGCCAAGATCTGTTCGGGAGTCTGAGACCGTGGCTCTGGGCTGCTCGCAGGTTGGACTGATTTAGCGTCCGCCAGGGCAAGCCCAGTCTCCACTCGGTTTACTCGAACTCCCAATTTCGACAGGGCCTTGAAAACAAGAGTCGTCATATTTGAGCCCAAACAGCCCACTGACGACACCGGGTTCTTGATGTGGTCGGAAACAACGAGCACTGCCGGGGCGTGAGGCCCAAGCCTGGCATGAGAACCATCTAGCAAATGACAAAGCCACTCCGCGCGTCAAATAAGTCAACCAGGTCCTCCAGTAGAGAGGTTAGAATAAGGGTACCAACTTTGTTCTGTAGTCTTATTTTAGTAGTGGAACCCTCCCCCAAAAAAGAAACGGCAAAAGGGCACTCCTGGGGGACCTGGTCAAGAGAAACCTCTGACATCAGCCAGCACATACTTCTCCTATAGCGCACTAGCCTTCTCGTTAAGACTGAAGGCGGCATAAAACTGTGTAAGTAGACCCCCTTCACTATCTTCGCTTCGAAACCTGCTCTTGCCACCACACATGATCCCGAGAGGTTCGCTGCCTGAATCCAGCCACAGCGTGCAAGTCTGGGTGTTGAAGACCTCGGCGGTTGAATGGATGATCCTATTCTATCGGTACCCTTCCCATCTTCTTCAGGGATCCTTCTCTTCAAGAAAAAAAACAAAACCCCTGGAAAATAGGTGATGTCTAAAGAGAACGATGGGTGAAGAGAATGCGGAATCAAACCTTGGACCCATGCGCCACAAGCCCTTTGACACTCTTCTAGGTCCTCCAGTAGAGAGGTTAGAATAAGGGTACCCGATTTTTTCCTGTAGTCTATTTTAGTAGGAGAACGCTCCCCAAACAAAGGGTGAAAGGGCACTACTGGGGAACCTAGTCACGACTTCCTGGAAATCCTCGCAACCATCATCTGCTTCGAACGAGGACATTCTGGAGCCGGCATGCCTGGTAAGCAAAGTGGGAGCATTGCGATTGACGTAACTATGAAACCCTGAACATGATTCCTCAGAAGGTTCATGTTGTTGCTGGATCAAAGCTTTACTGAAAGCAAGGAGAACAAAGAAGCCCTCACTACAGGCCACCGTTGATGGACCCGCCAGTGAAAGCCGTGCTTGACCAATTGAAGTTGACCTTGTTTTCTACTACAGCGCAAGAACCGGATAAGAAATCATCGCATAAGAAATTGAGGCCTGAGAGTATTTAAACCAGGTAGGTTGCAACTGCTCTTGCTGCTAAAGAAATAAGCCCCCTGGATTTGCCCGACCAACAAGTTCTTAACAAACTTGTCCGGCAAACAAATGGTTGCAGGCAAGAAAAACTGTAAGAGGCCTCCAATTAAGCCCTGAATTCCTTAGTGGGAGTGGGTTCGGAAGGCCCCCCAACGTTTCCCAAAAGCTCCCAAACAGTATTTTCGGCTAACAGGGGATGCAAAGCGAACGGGTCGCTAATACAAAACTGCCACAAGCATTTTCAGGCCTGCAAAGCAACACAAAATTACAACCTCCCAGATCAAAAAAGGCTCTGTTCAGCTCCCCTGGCTCCGGAATGGTGCACGCAAGCCCTATTAAAACACACTGGAAGTCAAGAAATTGAGCCTGAGTCTCGACCGACCAACTTCTTATGCAATGCTCGGGCTGTAGTTCGCTCAGAGCCACATGAGCAACCATACACATCCAACCTAGAATAAGGGTACCAACAGGAGGACACTCTGCTTCGCTTTTGTTTGCACCAGTATGCAAACAGCACGAGCCCTGCTTTGCACTGCAACCAGGTTTGATAGAATTGTGGTCTCCTCCAATGTTCCATATACCTGCAAGTCGAGATTGAAACATCGTGTCGAGTCATTCTGATCTCGGTGTAAATAATAATTTAGATAGCATTGAAACAGTTGATGAGGATACAAATGCCTCACTTGACACTATGAATGGGGGTTGAAAAACCGTGTCGATTGTGTGAACATAATAATTCAAACAGCATTGAATCAGTTGATGAGGACGCACGTGCCTCACTGGATACTATGAGTGGGGCAGTCTTTGTGACAAAAAGTCGAAAAACAATCACTACGGGTAAACACATCAGACAATCGTCTGCTTTGTTGTTGACAAAAAGCTAAAGCACACATACACATGCTAGGAATAGGTGTTGTCTCAGTAGACACCCAACCACTGCCTTTGGTTCAACAATTATCTGCCCATTCTGGCAACACACGAGGTTTTGAACAATTGATTTTTGAAATGACTTTAATGATATCACATATGGAACAAGCATTGCTTTCAACGTCAGTAACATGTCTTTCAATGGCAACCAAACGGCCCTGACTATTGTCCTTTACTAAGTTGTCGTATTATACGAGCTTTCGTCAATTCACATGGAGTAACAATGAAGACCGCTTCCATGTCTATCGCTGCAGGAGACACTACGCGGCTTTGATAGAATTTGGTTGACCTTCAACAGTGTGTTCTGTTTTTGTTCAACTTGCGCAACCAGCAAATGGCAAAACTCTCGGCGGACTTTCGTGGGGTCTTCTTTGGGTTTTTGCTTTTGTGAGGTTGACCTTCGCAACTCGGCGTTGTTTGTTTTTCATTTTACTCGCGGATCCCTCTACGGATTTGAATCGGCAGCCACTATGAATAACTCAGACTTTCTTTCCCCTGCCGGCTAGGTGTTCATACACGACTTCAAATCTAGCCGAGGCTTTGTGTAAACATATCCTCGATTGCAGCCACACGCATTTGGACTGGTTTGGACAGGCAGATAGGGCCAAAACCTGCGGTCCGATTCCTGGTTGCACTTTGAGCCATACCCAACAAGAGTTCTTATAACTTGGTGGCTGAATCTGCTCCCCTGCAGATAAGTGACTAACTTTTGGTGGTTTAATACGGAAAACCGGTCCATTTGGCAAAAAGTTGAGGCGTCCTAAGAGGCCTTGGCAAAATGCACCAAAGATAAGACTCAACAAACCAGTACCAAAATGGAACCCTGGTAAATGGAAACATGAACCAAAACCTGCGGTTTGCCCCTCCTGTTTAATTTTGAGCCATACTGGCCATACTCAACTATAGTTCTTATAAGACCTATTCGTTCAACAATTTCCGCTCTCCGGCTCCAGACTTTTCGGGCAAGTCTGTGACTTCGTCAAGGGCTCGGCTCTTCTCCTCGCCTGTGAAAGTTGCTTCCTCATGGCATCTTTGCAAGCTTACTTTCAGCAAGTAACAGGGATCCGGATGCATGACAACACCTGAACATTGCAACTTGTAAATGGTGGTTTCCTTTTATTTTGGTGGAACAAGCAACATGTTTCAAATGGGCAAAATGTATCTTTTAAGGAGCCCTGAGTAAGTGTGATACTTGGCCAAGCCACTGCAGAAGGGCCGCGGTCCTTCTTGCACTTGAAGCCTCCCTCCGTCGGCTGCCACTCGAAATCTCGGCCGCAAAATGAGGCTGGGCCGGAGATGTTATGCCACATATCCAGACCGTTCTTCGTTGCAACACGCATCGGTAGACAGAAACGCCCTGGCAGCCAATGGAAGCAGCCGGACGTTGCCAATGGCTTAGCTCAAATCCCCTTGGGTTTCACGCGAGCCTTCAGAGCAGCGCTCCGGCTAAGAATACACCCAACGGACAGAGAGGGAACTTGCCGTGCCAACATTTGCTTGCGAGGTATGCCATGAGCATGCATGCGGGTAGAACACGCAAGCTTAGCAAACAAATATGCCTTCTGGACTGGAGGTGCTGCGAGTTTGATGGGCGCTTTTGCTCAAGAAACAAACTTCGAACCCGTCCTCATGTGTTTGGTTGTCCAAGTTGGCCAATCGCAAAGTGGTGCTAATGCCTGATTTTTTTGTTTTGGCCATGGTTCGCTACCATCTGCAGTGCGCACCGTCGGCTGAGGTCATCTTGGTCAAGCTGGAAAAAAGGATGTGTTGGATATTGCTGGTCTCTTGCAGGGACATGGCCGCGACAAGAAAGACCGGAATGCAGCACAAAGGCGTGCCCAGGCTCGTCACAAAGAGTGTCACATAGGCATGTAAACCAGGAGTGTTCAACAGCAGCACCGGCCTTTTCGCTAGCCCTGCTTGTCGCATCGCGGCTGGTGACGGGTGCAGCTTCTCCCACCATGACAGCCCCGTCGAGAAAGGCTGTCGACCGGAGCAAAGATAAATATGTTTCTTCTGTGCATAAACATTTAGATAATGAAATCGGCTTTTTGCCAAGATAAGTTGGCTGCTCCAGTGGCTGAGGTCAGGAACACTGATGCTCACACCCAAACATGTCCATTTCATTACTTGTTTGCCAAACCCAACAGCGCACCTGTTCTTTGCGGCCAACGCCTTCACCGCAGCTTCCCCCTGCTTTCTCGCAACCGAGCAGCCGCCGGCAAAGAAGTTGGAGGTGATCTTACTGACCTCCCGCTGCCGGGAGCTATGACGCTAGCGCTAGGGCACCCTCTAACACCAACCCACTCACCTCCTTCCATTTGCTTAAGCCCCCCCAAAAACAACAGGGATAGATAGATTCTCTTTAACACCAACGAGGCAAAGTAACAAACATATGAAGCAAATGGAAGCCTCCCATTTAATCCGGTCCCTTTAGGAAAATGGAAAGCTTCCTGGCCAGGCAGTTGAGCCGTTGGTCTCAGCGCATGCCGGCCGCTTGTTCTTAGCTACTGGTGTGACAAGACACCGAGGCGGAAATGTGCAGCCCTGGCTCACATGAATGGATGCGCTAGTCTTCCTTGAGCATGCATGCGCCAGTCACCAAAATAAGCTTCAGGCATACAACATGCCATCATGAGAAAATCGTCCATCAAGATATGTCTCACATCTCTCTTCCTTTTTCTGGCTACAGCAGGCGAAACGCAAATTGCAAGATTGTGCATTCGACGCGGAGTTTGATCCTGTCGGACTTATGACTAAAGTCATCAACCGCGCAATTGTGTGGTTGTGCGGTACCAGTGGCATTGTGTTTGTTTTCACATTTTTCTTTTTTTAACTGTAAGCACTGATGCTTCGCACCGTAAACAATTCCAACACCACGCTGAGAAACCTAGACTGGTCTGAATTGAGGTAGTATATGTTCTGCAATGCAGTGCCAAACAATGAGGTGCGCAAAGCAGCAAAGCAGCAAAGGGTTAGATGGCCCTGACAGGAGCGCTACACATCCTGAACATGTTGTTTCAACGGCTGACATTCAAAGGTCCTCTGCAGGTCTGAGTGCAATGGAACGTTCAGCACAAGGCTCAACGGTTCTGGCAACAAATAGAGGCCGGACTTCTAAGTGGCTCACCCTGCAAACTTGCCTTCCATATCTTCAAAGCACAAGGTTTATGGGGCTGCTTTTGAAGGTATGCGTGCGACAGGTTGGACGTGGATCGAGACTAAGCCAAAATGAGTGCTCGCTCTGAAAACAAGTGACCCACTATTCACAAGACCTCGATTAGTTTGCCCAATCGATTGCATTGGAATGACTCTGCCAACCAAATACATGCTTTGGGGGTAGGGCTTGGGGCCTTGAGCTGGTACCCTTCCTCCCACTAACATGGCACCTGTGGGAGGGCACCTGGAAGATCAGTTTCCTCTTGGGACCCTTTGTCAGGTGTTAGTGGGAGAGAGGGTACTTCTCATGTCACAAGCACCACCCAGGACATGCCAACTGCGCCAAAGCCCTGTACCCGCCTCGTCGAAGATATGCTTGCGTGAGCGGGCGCTGGCGCTTTCCAGCGTGCTGATGACCTCATCGCAAGCGAAGGCTTACACTTGGCCGTGGGACAACAAATAGGGTACGCAAAATGAAGCCCTAGTTTATGGAAACAAGAACCAAAACCGGGGGACCCCTGGTGGTTTAGTTTTGACCATAGCCATTTGGCTGAGGCTATGGGTGCCTGAACCTACTTGAGAATTGTGGCCCCGATCGCGGGCACTTGGCGAATCTTACGCTTGTGCATCCCAGCCGAGCCGCGATAGCACCTAGACATTCTCAACTTGCTGTTGTCAAAGAGTGGTTCCCTTGCGTACCGATACAGGAAAATGGGATCATCACATGGGTAGGTATTCTTGTGGAATAGCTCAAACAAAACTCATACTGGACATGGCTACATCCTGACAAGGACCAATCTGCCTTCTGGCGAACGTACCAAATACTCCGTCAGCATCTCTCAGGTCTTTCTCTCAAAGTTTCAAAGACAGAAGCTTTGAGAAAAGCCACTGTTGAAAGAATCCGCTTCCTGCACAAATCTCTTGGGGCAAGGGAGGTTGCCAATAGCTCTGCATCTCCAGCGCCTGTAGATTGCGTCGTATGATTTGTTCATCGAAGTATTCCGCTGTGCTTTGTGTGGTCTTGGATTTGACATCATCAGGGTCTTGGCAGGGACGAAGGTGCTTATCTGAGGAAGCGCCAAAGCAGAAAAACCGGTGATATGCAGTGAAATAGACATACATGTCTTTCTTCGCTACGTTATATTTCAGGGTTGCAATGAATCCCGTGGCGACTTTTGGGATTGGAAGTCGTCCGAATTTCGAACAACTTTAGACACGAAAAGTTGGCCCGCTTTTGTCCAAGTGGTTTTCTGGGAGTTGGACACAGCTTTGCATTACTAGTGGAGCCCTTGTTAGCATTTACATCAACCAAAGCTGGCTTGCTCCCATTCGCCGAAGGGCGACGGGTCTATTGTGTGATGCGTTTTGAGTTGAATATCTCCATGTGTTCGATGTCACCAGTTGGCGTACAACATGGCCTCTCTCTACTAAGCACAAACCCAACCTTTTGTTTGATAGGGGCAGCATGTACTTCTGCAACCTGTTCTCGGAGAGTTTCGTATAAACTTTGAAGGCGTCAACCTGCTTTGGCAATCAGGCAGTCAACCTTTTTCCAAAAAAGAAAAACCTAGCAGTGGACCTAGAGGCCTTTTCAACATGATTTAGTCCTCCGAAGCCGCCTGCCCACGTCCATTCACGGCCCTTGCACACCCGGAGACCGGGATCCGAGTTCCTGTGAGGCCGCGCATCTGCGCGCCGACGCTGCACCACCTCCAGGAGCATCCTGGATCGACATCCAAACCAAACCGCAAAACGGGTTTGGCATCTGCATAAGGGAGGCATGACGCACAAAAAAATAAACAAAACTAAAGAAGCAAACAAAACACATGCCCATGCCACACAACAACCGTGATTCTTCCGCCGCTTTCGGGATAAGGCGGAGCAGCAAAGCAGCCCCCCCCCACCTCCCCGGAACGGGGGGACCATGTTGGTCCACGACGGGGATGTGTTCGCCATTCTTGACCACCATGACCATGGGTTTTGGGCTGCAGAGCTAACAGTAGAGTACTAATAGTATTGTCAGCGACTCATGCAGCACTACAACGCTGCCGAGATTCTGCAGTTCAGTGCCAAACTGCTCGGCAAAGTCTTGCTCGTACCATGCAAAGACGTAGGAGCAACCTGGAGCAACTTGTCGATATTTGCAAACTGATGAATGTTTGCGCGGACTTTCACTTTATAACCCTTGATATGGTAACAAAACACATAATTCTGTCTTGCAGCCCCTACTAAAAATGAATAGAACCCCCCAAAAAAACAAACAAACTTGCCAACAACGGTGAAGTTCACCTAATGACAAAAAGGAAAGCCCACCACATGAGTGGTCACCGTAGACTCACTGCAGGGCATTGCTTGCCAGGTCAGAAAGAGTCTGCCGTCTGATCTCTGATCAACGGAAGTATTCCAGATATATGGCCATGGGTCAAAATCCCGTACCCCCCGTGAACATCCCAATCCCAACTAAAATAAAGCCTGAAATGGGTGATGCACCTACCAACCAAAATGGGATCCCATTGGTTTTGACCCACAGCCATATCTAAACTCGTACTTGCAGTGCACCAAAGGCCTCCTAATCCTTTTATGCAGGTTAAGTTTTTTCTTCAACTGGCAAATCAACAGGCGAAGAACCAGTTTTCTAGGTCCTCCAGTAGAGAGGATAGAATAAGGGTACCCTTTTTTCTGTAGTCTATTGTAGTAGGGGAACCCTCCCCAAAAAAAGGGTGAGAAAGGGCACTACTGGGGGACCTAGTGTTCTTCCGCAACCCATGGCAAATCAACAGGCGAAGAACCGGAATCGGGAGATTGGCAGAACGAGGTGGAGCCAATGAACTTTGCATCCATTTCATAAAAACCCACGCAAGGTCACCCAGGAAATGGGTAACTTTGTTTGAGAGTTCTTGTTTTATGGTGTTAAAGGCAATTCAAAAGGAAAACACAATTTTGAGAGGTCCCATGACAAAGACGCACCCTAATACAGACTGTTGCAAGCTGTATGGGGAATTCATGTCATCTTGGCGTGCGAGTCACTCTCTTGTTGGCCCTATTGCCGGCGAGATCTTCCAAATGCAAGATGCAATCAACAACGCTAAATGACAGCATGTGCAGCATGTGAACAGCATGACTTGCCGCCTGAGAAAAAAAAGAAGAAAAACAACTTAACCCTGCTCGCTGTGGCTAACCTTCAAAGCTCAACAAGTTCTAATGGACCAAGGCGACTCGATTCGTGCCGCTAGTGAACAGCCCAAAATAGCGAGACGAAAAGAAAGACCATGAAGTGAAGAAAACAAATATGATGATAACACGTTGTTTTCAATAAATGCAATTTCTAGAGATACAACAATATTAGATAAAATCAGTGTATTGGCAGAAGCTAATTCACAAGGATCTGAAAGATGGAAACTTCTCCTGGCCGCATCCCTAAAGTTGGAGAATATCGTAAATGAAATCATGTCAAGAGATGGGAGAAGGTAATCATCTGGTGATCATCTGGTGCCACTTTTTCGGACTGTGAGCTCTCACATGAAAAGGTAGAGCTGAGCCACGCCAGTACAGAAGATAGTGGGAAAGCGTAATGTAAAACTCAGTTTCCCATTCAAAGGTTATGCGGCATGACTCAAAATGGACCGAAACAGGGAAACCCAAAAGGTCAACAAGTCGGCGTTGGGCAAGTGAGAAAGCCTAGTCACCGAATCAAACAAACTGATCACTGCTTACTCGCTACAATAGGTGTCCAACATCCTATTGTAAAGGGCTAATCCCTACTGTGGATGGACGAAGCCCATTTCACACCACGTTGAAACCATGGTTGAAACCACAACGATTGGCACGCGCAGAGTCAGTGCCTAAGAGGATTTCGTCACCACATGGACCCCAGGAAACCGTGGGCTTTAGCCAAGCTTCTGCTGAGCAGTAAGATCATGTTCTCGTCCACCGACCTAACGAAAGACGGGCAAAGCACCCCAGTGTCTCGCCGTCAGAGCGAGTCCGTTCAAGCGAGTACCCTCCAAGGTAGTTTGAAAGCCAGATTAGAGAGCCCCTCTAAACTTTCACGTTCGTGGACCCTGTCAGACTTATCTATACTTCTAGGAAAAAGCGACAATTGTCAGGGGCATGCAGCAGTCAAAATGCAGCTGCTAGCTCGCCTGCTCAGCTTGCCAAAGCAGTGTCCCCCAAGAAAAAGTGCAACCATATTGGTTGTTCAAAATGAAGGGATTTCTATTCCTAATCGAGACCACTACAACAAGGGAAACCACTGCCAGCTGGCAGAAAGATTTTGCTGATTGATTTTGAGCAATCGAGTATAGACTAGATATGACTAGATATTTATGACTCACCCTCTAGGCAACATTGCGCTTTGATCAACAGAAAAAAATGACACACATGACTGAATCTGAAACAGGAGGCGACCTCAGCCATCCCTAGGTGAAAACAGTTGTTTTTCTTTCGGTAACTCACTTCCTGAGTGGACTGGCCAAAAGAAGTCTGAACTTTTTATGTGCCACACCTATGCATCCCTATCTGCCCTTAGGCCAAGCCACGTGAACTGAGGCCCTAGGCACTCTGAGTTTCCGACAAGTCTCGATGGAGACAGGTCAGGGCAACGTGGGCGTGCATGCGGCAGCGTACGTCCATCTCCTGGATCTTGCCAATCCCTTTGGGCAGGCAAACCCCCGAGAAAGTCAGGAATTCTCCAACCAGCTCACCTGGACATCTTCAAAGCATTAAGGTCTTTGGCATAGCATGCATCTACAACAAGTTCACTACATCTGAGAATCTGCACTTCAAAGCTTTTGGCTCGGACAACCACTGGCTCTTAGACAAGTACCCTGCACAAAGCGAATGCGAATCGAACCAGCATCGGCATCCTGGCAGCGATCTCGCAAGGCAGGGTAGCCTGGACATCATATTAACAAAGGGAGGACATTGTTGTCCACAACTCTGCGGACATTGCCAAGGAAGTTACAATGCATACCAAAACCAAGGTGTGCTGCTCTGCAAGCATGGAGTTGTATAGAGCAAGCGGTTTCCATACCTTTACTCAGTTCAGCACAAACTGTTCCATTCAGAACCAGAAAACACCTGTCAAACACCTACTTACTAAACACACAGAAGAGCAGCGCACCACGTGTGCACCTGCGGTGGCCACGGCCTGTGAATTGCAGAAGGTGTGTAGCCTATGCACTCGATCGGTCATAGTCATGTTTTGCAACATAAGGGCACCCTCGTGGGCGAAAAACACAGGCTTCTTCACTTCCTTCTTGCTCATTTGAGATTCCCCAGGTTCAGCAAATGGGTGTCAGCCTTTCTTTAGGGGACCCATAGGTCCCCCCAAAATGGTGGTGTTCCTTTTGATTTCCCTTCACCACCAAACACCGGGCACCCACAGATCCCCCCCTCATGCGCCCGTCGCCTGGCTACAGGCCTCGGTCCAGCGCTGGAGGTGCTGCAAGGCATTTTTCTCCAGGAAGTTGGTGAGGGTCCTGGGCCGAAGCAAGCGACCGCCGGCTTTGACATTTTGAGGCAGACATGGTCAAAGCGCTGGGGTTGATTCCCCATGCTTTGCAAACTGTAAGAACCTGGGCGCTCACCTTTTCCTTTGAGCATACAAAAGGGTCTGCAAAGTCGCAGCCTTCGAACGTGTTCAAATCGCAAACGGGGCTCAGTGACTCACACACTCCCCCTTGGCACTTTTTGTGCCAACCTGACCGGCTCCGGCTTTGAAGGCTAGTCCCAGCTCAAGACCCTTCCATCCGCTGCCTTTGCAGCTCTTTGGCCTTCTGGAAGAAGCTAAAGCCCGTCCATTCTCTCAGGCGCGTCCTCGTGCGTGATGCGTTCTGGTCCAATCTGCCTCTGGGGCATCCGCCCCCGCCTAGGGTCAAACTCCAAGACCCTCTTCCTGCACCTAATGTAGTAATCCCCCTTCTTGGTCCAGCGGTCTTCCGCCCCAACCGGCTCTTCAGGATTCCTGCAAACGCCTCCTTCACGCCCTCCCACATCGCGGCCTCTTCCACGTCCAGCGACACCTTGAACCATCCCTGCCCGCCACCAGCGGCTCTGCTGCCGCCCAAACTCTTTCCCCTTCTCGCACGCTGCTCTTGATCTTCCTCAAAGCTTCCGCTCTGCACCTCTCTCCCAAGCGGGCTCTGCTCCACGCCCGCCTTCGGCCAACAACCTTGATCTTCGCTCCTCCTCCGGTAGTTGACGTACTCCACAATCCTCCACCGTATGCGGGTCCAGCACGACCCCCGCCGCCTTTCTCGCCGCCCACTTCAAAGCCTCCACGTGCGGAGCGCGGTCCAAAACACGAGCTCCTCCTTGGAAGCCTCCTCGTCATCCATCCCGGCTGCATCCGCCAGATTCACACACACCAGGCCCATCGAATCTTCAGGCCGCGTTCGTGCTCCACGCGCGCACGACCTTCACCTTGAAGGCCTTGGGAAGTTTTGCTTGAGAGAAGTGGCCGAGATGCTGGGCGTGAAGATGGGAGAAGGCGAAACGATCCCGGAGAAGGAGGAGGACCTCACAAACCTCCGGGAGAATGACGCGGTTAGTGCCGATGTCTGCCACCATCGTCTCGCCCGGCAGTTGCTGCAGCGCCCAGAAGCCGTTCTCGAATCTCTGGCCCGCTTGCTGCGCAATCAGCTGGCGAATGCGGCTCACGCCATAGCTGATGTCCGGCCGGGCGCCAGTCGCCAACAGCAACTGCGCGCGCCGAATCATCTCCATGTCCTGCTCCTCGTCCTCCCCGTCCTTCTCGATCTCCTTCGGCACATATGAGCTTCTCCTTCACCTCACTACCGTACCTATTGATAACATCCTTGGTGCAGTCCTCTTGCCCCACTAAGAGTTCTCCGCCACCACCCGGCTTCACGATCACCTCCACACCGCAGAACTTCAGCGGTTCTCCGTGTTGGCCCACTCCAAGTCCGTGGCATCCCACTCTTTCTTGATGTGGCCCGCCATCACCTCCACAATGTGCTGCTCTCCAATGACCATCATATCATCCACGTGGCAGCAGATGAACCCCGCCGTGGTCTTCCCTTGCTTGATCGACAAAGGCCTGGTGCAGTACAAGCACCTGCCTACTCCGATATCCACCTTCCACCTCCTGAGGGTCTCATCCCGATGAGCCCCCCCAAGGTCAGCTGATTAAGCCTGCAGACCGTAAAGGGCCTTGGTCACCTGCCACATGATGCCCGGTTCCATCTTCGCATCGATAGGATCCTGCGGTCTCACCCACAGCCCGGTGGCTCGACCTCCTCGGGGTGTTCAGGAATGCCGTGCTGACATCCAGACTACCAACCGCCCACTTCTTGGCCGCAGCCTTCCGAAGCAGCGCCCAGACTGTCCCCGCCTCTGCTCCTGACGCGTGCGCGTCCGAGTTCCACCTCCTCCTGGATCTGGTTGCCGCAGACCACCGCGCGGCACTTCCTTCTTCCATCTCCAGCTTCGCTTCTCTTTCCCATTTGTCTACCTCCTCTTCTCTGACCTCGCGGGTGGCCATCTTCTCCAAGAACGCGCGAACTTCCTTGTACATCGTGGGCAAACACATGTGCATTTCTGTTTTAACCTGCTCCAGAACGAGGATCTTCGTCTGCAGGAAGATCTCTTTTTCGGTCAAGGCTTCCATCGCCATCAGACTCCTCCTCAATGCACCCCACCAGCTCCCTGCCGTTCGCCAGAACCACATGCGCAGCATCAAGATGCTGTCTCCTTCCACCTTCTCCCTTTCCACCGCATTGAGCCCCTCATATCCAAACCGCTCTTCTCCTCGACCTCTCACCGGGTAGGGGCCGTCTTCCCTTCCACCGCCAACTTCGCCAGGTGGCCGAAGGTGTCCTGCTCCAATATAGATCCTGGCCCGACAAGATATCCACCACGCTGACCTCCCGCTTCCATTCGCTGTAGTTAAACTTCTTCGCACTCTTCCCGGCGTAGAGGTGTAGGATCAGCCCCGTCGCCCTAACATGCCTCCTCCTCGCCGCCCGGTTCCACGCGGTCCCCTTTCCGTCACCGGAGCCCAACGCCTTCTCCATGAGAATCTCCGGCACCTTCAAGTCGCTTTTCACCGCCTGCAGCGCCAGCTCCCTTTTCTCATCCACCGCTCGCTCATCTGGCGTCATGAAGGCCCTAGCTCTTCTCCTCTGCGCTGCTCTTTCTTCCGCAGCCCTCGAAGGCGTTCTCGCCGAGTCCTCCTCATCGCCCGACTCCGGAACCATCCATTCCAGGCCTGAGCGCCCGTGGCGGCCCCTCCCTTGCCCTCTCTTCACCCCGGCCATCTGCCGGCAAGGGCTTACCCGGCCGGTTCGCCTCCTCCTCCCACGGCGCAATGGAGCGAGGTCTTGGGCTCATACTGTAACCTGTAAGAACCTGGGCGCTCACCTTTTCCTTTGAGCATACAAAAGGGTCTGCAAAGTCGCAGCCTTCGAATGTGTTCAAATCGCAAAGGGGCTCAGTGACTCATGCACAAACAATCGTTCTATTCAAAACCCAGCTGCTTCCCCAGAAAGACAAATCCCTGGAGAGAACGGGGAAGCTTCCCCTAGAGTTATGATTTGCCTCGGCATCGAGAGCAATGCTCTCAATGTCTCTCATGCGGCTAGGGCATGACATTCGCCGAGCCAACAGCTGCTTCAGATCTGAAGCTCTGCATGTGTTCTTTCGCACCGTGGCAAGTGTGTCATTCTTTCCGAAATACTGTGGATGGACGAAATCCTGCACCAGTTTGAAACCAATGGAAACCATTGTTTGTTGGTATTTACAGGGGAATCATCATTCCAGGGTTTCTTGGGTGGTGCAGGATTTCGTCCATCCACAGTAGGAACATGCACATTGAACGACTAAACCCTGGACCAAGAGGTTGATGACATTTGATGACCATCGCTACCAACTCGACGTAAAGCGGCTACCTTTGATACCACTGCATGGTGCGGCCGCAAAGCCTTGGGGGTGAACAAGTGGTTTGCACACGACCCGCGCATCTGAGCACATGAGTGTTGGGGGCAGGGCCGGGCAGGGGATGTTTACGCAGGGGATGCATGGAAAGGCCAGAATTCAAGGGGCATGCTAAAGTATTTGTTTACGTGAATAGCCCGTACATGAACCCAACTAATATTGCGCACCATGGGTGTTGGACAAAGATGAATCTTGCGTCTGCTGGAGGGTGTGGTCGCTTAGGTTCAGTTGGATTCGGGGCCCGATCCCTATACTCAAAGCACAAAGACATCTTTGACGTTTGAATCTTGGCTAGAATCAGGACCCCAGCCAAAACCTATCTTTTTGCCTGGTTAGTGACAAGCAAAGGAAACCCGAAAAAAAAAGAAAAGCAACACAACTTAAAAAGGGGAGCTAATTCTGGGAAAGGAATGAGTCCCAACCCAACTCGCAGGTTGCCCAACCCTCCCCACACTCCAGGTCCTCCAGTGGAGAGGTTAGAATTAGTTGGTACCAACTTCTTCTTCTTCTTCTGTAGTCTTTTTTGGCAGGGGAACATGTACACCGATTCAATGGCATTTGGCACAAGCCCGTGCGTTGCCAGCAGTGTTTGGACTAGGTCCTCCAGTGGAGAGGTTAGAATAAATTGGTACCGTTTCTTTTGTCTGTAGGCTATTTTGGTATTGTTCGGAACCCTCCCCCAACAAATGCAAGGGCACTACTGGGGGACCCATACTCAACTTTCGCGCCAAGGCTCGATGCCAGCTCGGGGTGCGAGTCCAAGCCCTGCAGGGCATGTCTGATGCTTTGTGGTTTTTGGCAAGCATCCACAGTATGGATACCTCCTGCTGGTTTCCTTCTTGGTTTCCCGTTAAAGCCATACAGACTCCATGAAACTCCCATGCTATGGTCAAGATCGTTTCCATGGGGTGTTTCACGCGCCGCACAAGCCCATGGACCTTCAGTCAACGCATTGTTCGAGAAAAAAAAGCGTGGAATGCTACTTCGCGTGGAGACGTCTGGCATTAAGAGCCATGTGCGCGCAGCTCTCGCAGGAACTTATTTGCTGAGATAATGATCCGGGACATTCGCCGTACCCACTGGAAAGGAAAATGCATGCAGAGAGGGTACGCTTGAGTGCGTGTGCTGCTCATGGGTGCGGCTTCAATGGGTGTGGCAGGCGTAGGTGCAGTGCTAAGCGGGTGCGCTCAAGCGGGCGCGCACATCATTTGGCAGGCGAGACACCCAGAAAAGGGGCCATAAGTTGGTGCGTAGCACTCTGAAAAAGGGCGAAGATGTGGCCGACATGGCCCTCGTCTACACACACCCAGGTCGAACTACTTGCATTCAGCCAATTGATGTCGTGTTAGCTGCTGAGTCGGTTTACTTTCCTGTTCTGGATAATCTACATGTTTACATGGTTCTGCATCAAATGTGTAGGTCCTACTCAAACGATTTTGGGCTTTGGACACAGTCCAAAGTAGTTGCCCCCCCACATTCCAAACGCGCGCTACTTTTGGCATCGTGCTCGCCTTGCAAAAATCACATCTTGCAATGTGTGTCAACCTATCGAGACTGACTTCCATTTGCTTAAGCCCCCCGGGAAAAAATATCTAATAGTGATAGATTCCCTTCAAAACCAACAGGGGAAAATAAACAATATTCATTTCAGCAAATGCAAGCTTATCAAGATTGAACCACAAAACCTCTCTGCCAGCCATCATGCACCTCTCCTCCCACTTCGCGCCTGGTGGTGCAGCTGATCCAAGAATCGGCTGCATAGCCTGCAGCGTTAAGGGGATGTCGCGATGGCGCTTGGGTTCAGGCCTAAAGATGAACAAAGACTTCCATTTGGTTAAGACCCCTGGAAAAAATAATAATAACAAAAATCAAGGGACACTCTTCTAGGTCCTCCAGATTTGAGAGGTTAGAATGGGCACCCACGTTTTTCTTTCTTATATATTTCAGTGGGGAACTCTCCCCAAAAAAAGTTGGTACAAGGGCACTACTGGGGGACCTAGACAAAGATCCAAGCTTGCTTACAAAGCTCCCTTTGCAATTATAGTTGAATATTTGGATTAAGTGGTAGCTTGTGAGTGTGTGACTGTTGAATTGCTGCTTCTGTTCGCAAGACAGCCCAAAGCAAACATGTAAATAAACGTGGGCCGTGACAACTAAACATACTGTGGATGGACAACATCCTGCACCACCTAAGAAGCCCTGGAATGGTCTGATTCCTCTGTAAATACTAACAAAATTATGGTTTCCCATGGTTTCAAAGCGGTGCAGGATTTCGTCCATGCACAGGAAAACAACAACAAAGACACTCCACTCGCCCTTGGCTCGCAAGGTATCCAATGCCCAACCCGCAGCCGGTCTCATGGCAATGGTTGTCGGTGTTCCTTGCGTATATGGGTCGGTCTTTGTTCCAAGGGTTTTGGTGGTTTTGGAGGCAAACCAAAAAGGAAACAACTTTTCGGGGGGGTCCCCTAAAGAGGACACACCCATGTGCCAAACCTTATTTTTAACATATTGCTGGTGGCAAGCCTGTGACACCGACAGGCTTTGCTGAAGTTAGCAAATCATTTGCCGCAAGCATGGCACATATTTTGTCTACGCATGGGCAGCAACAAATGACATGCTTCACGCTCCGCAAGGTAGCACCTGGTACAACAGCTCTTTCTCCGTGGACATTGTTTTTGTTCAGACTGCCTGTGCACTTTGACAGGTTGCGATGTGCAGACAACCCTCTTTCGATTGATTTAGGTAGAATGCAAATTGTGGGCACTCGGAACATGTACACCGATTCAATCTCATTTAGCACAAGCCCGTGCGTTGCCAGCAGTGTTTGGACGAGGTCCTCCAGTGGAGAGGTTAGAATAAATTGGTACCGTTTCTTTTTTGCTGTAGTCTATTTTAGTAGGGTTCGGAACCCTCCCAACCAAAAAAGGGGTGAGAAAGGTTGCACCCCTGCTCCCGGCTCGGAGACGCGCCTGACAAAGAAGAGCAGAATCTCCGCTGGGGGCCCATCGAACTCCTGCAAAGAGGCGAGTCGCGCGTTCATACGTAGCACAGCTCCATGGAAAACACGGGGCGGACGTCAAATGCGGTGTATAACTAGCTCCTCCGGATTTGAGAGGTTAGAATGAGGGTACCCATTTTTTTCAGGACGTCTATTTTAGTAGGGGACGCCTCCCCCGAACAAGGGTGAGAAAGGGCACTACTGGGGGACGTAGATAATGTTATATAGTACATCGCAGTGCATCAGAATCATGTCCTTCTTCCATGGTCAGGACTCCTTACAGGGCAAAAAGCAAGACAAAGAAGCCCTGGTCATGGTTGCATCAGATCTTATCCGAAGGAACCGTCATCAAGACTCCTATTAACTACAATCCCTGCGAGCCGCAGCCATGCCTGTGAATCCCAGAAGCAGACCGCTGAGAAAACAATCTCTCGCGAAGTAAGAATCGTTGCATTGCTTCTGATGCCACTACGGGTGACACACGCACACACATACACCGCTCCATGGGATTGATTTTCGTAATCAGCTCGGGAACTGCACAAGAACTGCGAGCCAGCTCCTTGGAGCGCAATTGATTCAATCGCTTGGCAAAAGGGAGCGCCTTTGTTCAATCTTGGTTGACCAAACTCTTGATGACCAGCCCGGCAATGACTGAACGAAATACCCAAGCTGTTTAACCCCAGCAAATACAAACCTCAAACGAATCAAACGACCCTGTGGCAGGCTTGTTTGATCAGTTGGGCCAAAAAACAATCCCGGCCCTAAGCCAAGCTGGAATTGATTCCTTGACTTTGCGCATAGAAGCGCACGCACACAGAAATTCTCAGAAATTTCCTCTGGCTCACGGCTCAGAACATTGTTCAGACTGGCTGTTCCGCTCCCGTGACAAACTGGCATCTTTCTAGCCGTGTCTTCTCCACAAACGCTGTCACCCGCACCCGTCATCGTTTACGTGTATGTGTCTGGTCTGTCCTCAAATGCCCTGCTAAAAGTTAAACTTTTCGTGACTGGAATGGAAACCACCGCAAAACCCTTCAAACCTAGGTCCTCCAGTAGAGAGGTTAGAATAAGGGTATCCCTTCTCTGTAGTCTATTTTAGTAGCCCAAAAAAGGGTGAGAAGGGCACTACTGGGGGACCTAGAAACCTAAAAACCTAAAGGGATGGCTGGGAACCACCAAGGTGCGTGTGACGAGCTGCGCATGGCACGTCGGACAGTTCACAAAAACGAACGTTTGCAGAGCTCCCAGCGCCTCGGGTGGCGCAAGGCGGGCCAGCTCATCTGCCTGCGGCACAAACAGGTCCCAAGCATGTGCCATATGAAAATCCTAGCGGAAAAAGTTGAAGCCGAATGAACCAACCTGCGACTTGACTAAACACCCACACACACACACACGTTATAGCTCATAATGCTACAAGCAGCGCATGAGTGGCCATTTTGCTCAGCGGCATGTGTTGAAAATGGTTCCAAGCAGCAATTATTGTGCCCAACTATGCAAGTGACGCTGCATGCAGTTCCTTGGATCTGAGTATTGCCAGTCTTGGAAACCCGCGAACGAAAAAGAGAAAAACAAGAAGCTTGATTGGGCAGTGCGTTTCAGAATGCAATCCGCTGGCTTGATTGAAATATACAACTGGCAAGTGCTTGCTTGACATGCCTTCCAACATCACCAAATGCCGTTGGAGACAAATGTACTCCGAATGTGCGGCCAAGCGAATATGTTCATGCTGCGTGACAAGCTGATGTCAACAAACAGAAGGGGAGCGTGCCCCTGCATGATTCACAAACCTGCGGTTGAAATCTGCCTAGGTCCTCCAGTAGAGAGGTTGGATTAAGGGTACCCTTTTTTCTGCAGTCTATTTTAGTAGGGCAACCCTCCCAAAAAAAAAAGGTAGAAAGGGCACTACTGGGGGACCTGAACATCTCTGAGCGGAAACCAAGCACAACCGATCCTGAACCAATCAGTAGTTTTGCTGATCGCAATCTCCAGGAAAAAAACAAGGATCTGGTTACAGGATCTTCAACATCGTGAAAGGCTTCAATGTCTGACGGATCAATAGCTTACCCTTCCTCCCACTAACATAGCCTTTGTGGCAGGGTACCTGGAAGATAGCTGTCCTCTGGCCATAGTGGCAGGGAGCAACAAGTCAACTCTCACGCACCACCCTTCTGTCGCAAAGACTGAGCTAAAGCAGGGAATGAAGGTAGGACAAGTCATGAAGATCAAATGTGTCGGCATGGAACGTCATCAAATGTGTCTTTTACAAGGCTGCAACGCGCCAACAAACAACGTTAACCGTGCCTAAACTCACAAGCTGTTCTCTGTGAGCTAATGTTGACCCAAGATTAATACACCCGTCCCATTATTAGGGAGGTGTTCCCTCCAACAGTGATGAATCCCACTAAAAGGGGACACTCTCCTATAAAATCAGGATGCCGGATGTGGAAGGCTACAGCTGATCATCGTCTCTCTCTCTCTCTCTCTCTCTCTCTCTCCCCCCTGCCCTGCATCAATGCAAAACAGCACTCTCAAGTCTTGAACGCCTTGACCTCGAATGACAACTCACTTTTTCCGCGTCATACTCAAATTGTCAAGTGATCACAGATGCCATTGCTGACACCATGCTCCACCTTTTTCCTGCATATTGGCCCGCTAGAACCTCAACCCAGTGTCTGCAATCCGGGAATACCAGCCAGTATCAAGCTGGAGATAACACATTGTCTACTATATGGCTGTGGCTCAAAACGTACCAAAATGGCAGCTTGGGGTTCTGGAAGCAAAGACTAAAACCTGCGGTTTGCCCTAGCTCTGGAAAAAAATGAGCCACACCCAACTGGGATTGGGGATTCCACCATTTTTGCCGCTGTTGTTTTTTCCCCATGCTTAACTAAGACCGCCAGGGCACCCATATGGTTGTATACCACCAGCTTTCGGCCTCCGGGGCCAGCTCTATCTTATTGGTTCCTGGTGAACAAGGAACCATGATTCTTTCAAGCACATGGTGGTTGATTGCAGTAAGGCAAACGTGATCAATGAGCAAAAAGGAGTGTCAGTGTCTGAGAAATAACTCCCAAGTCTTTCTTTGCCTAAGCCAAACAAATAATAACAAAAAACGGCTTCCTGTGATCCTGAGGTGCTTCCTCTTTAGACATCAACCGTTCCAAGACCTGAAGCAAAAGAAGACCCCAACGAAGTCTTTGCAGATCATTCCCTTAAATCATAGATCCCGGTGTTCCATTTCTCATTCCCCGATCGAAGCAGCAAGTTCATGATACTCAATTCCCGAAAGGACATCTTTGCTGATTTGGGAAGCTTGCTGGTGCGACAGAGGTAATGAAGGAAACCACAAGTTGAATGGTTTTTGTATAGGGGTCATTCCATGTCTGATTCCCTGCCAATCGCACCAGCAAGGAAGGACCGGCTCCAACTTTGGAAAAAAAACAACACGTTCCTTTCTTGTGCTTCAAAGGAATCCCCCCCCAAGAGGGAAAGGCCAATTTGTTGGGTCTCACCGGAAAAGTCCCCCAACTCCTTCTCGAACCCATCCATCCTTCCGCCGCCTGCGCGCAAAGCGCGCAGAAGGGCGCCGAGATGGTGCCCAGGCCTTTGCCCACCTGGCGAGGATCGACAGATCCAAGTCGCGTGCCAAGAGAGGGACCTGGACTCTGGACAGGGATCCGCATGCATACACCGATCGAACATTGCAACTGGTAAATGGTGGTGTCCCGTTGTTCTGGTGGAAAAAGCAACATGGTTCAAACGGGCAAAATGGAGATCTTTGAAGGAGCCCTGCTGGATATGTTCGCTTCTGAGAAAACAATATCTCGCCTTTTTTTTGTTAAAAGGCCGCTGGGAGGAACTCCTGTGCCAAGAAAGTTGCATTGCTTCTGATGCCGCACCGCTCCATGGCTAGGTCCTCCAGTTTTGGAGGTTAGAATAAGTTGGTACCGTTTCTTTTTGCTGTAGTCTATTTTAGTAGGGTTCGGAACCCTCCCAACCCAAAATTGGGTGAGAAAGGGCGGGACCTAGAGGAGTATGCAAAGAGTACTAAAAAATACAGGGACCCGGTGAAATCCAAAAAAAGCGCCTGCAACTCGTTCTGGACCTTTGGAACCTTGACTCATTTTTTGCCAAGAAAGGGACAGCAACCCAAGGGTCAGATGCGATCGGTCGATTCGCTGGCAGAGCGTTAACCATGGGGATTGAATCGGATACAGGTCTCCATTGTAAGGAATTTGATTCTACATGTTAGGAGGGTCCAGAATGTATTGTCCGGGAATTTCACCAAATGAATCCAAATGTTAGGACATTGAGTGAATATCTGCCGGTATTTCCAGAGTCTTGGCCATGATTCCGCCAAGTCGCGGGTTTCCTGAAGAGAGACTTCCCATTGAAGCCGAAGTATTCTTGTGTGGTGGAAAAATGCACCTCGATGATCAAAACTTGAAGTCTTTTTTCAAGCCATCCTCAAGCTGAAGGGTTCAAAGCAACAAAAATAGGTGAAACAACTTGTTTCAGCAACTATGGCAACTTACACCCCCCCGCCCCCGGCTCCCCGCTTCCCCTGGGAACCATCCCCGGTGATTCCGCTTTCTGTTTGAAAGCGGCAACAAATCGCGCACGGATCAAAAGGCCATGGGTCAGAATCCAAATCGTACCCCCAGTGAACATCCCAAACCCCACTAAAATAGACTAAAATGAGTCACAATCAAAACCCGGTATCAAAATAGTCTACCCAGAACAATGTAAAGACTTAAGAAGGCGGCCGCAACTGTTTCCGGCGAGTTCCCCTTACTAACCTTCATCTACCCAGGTTTTGATTGTGGCTCAAATGGGTGGTGAGTTCACCTACCAACCAAAATGGGATCCCAAAACGGTGTTGACAACCGCCGCCATATGGCTGTGGCTCAAAAACCTGGTAAATGGAAACATGGACCAAAACCTGCGTAACCCCAGCTCTTTAATTTTGACAACCACAGCCATATCCTCTCCCCGACGCCGGAAACGCTAAACGCTCTTCGCGCCTCGTTGTTCAAGAGCCCAAGGCCGGTGCCTAACTTCGAGGTCAGCTCCTGAGAATTGCGCATCATGGAACCCGGCAAAAGCCGAAAGGAGAACCACCCATTTTGAGGGTTCCCCTGAAAGACACACCCAAAAAGGAACGCCTCGAATTGGGTGCTGCGGATGGACAGTAGATGACATTGGACAAGACAGGTTGGTGCCCTTAGAATAATTCTAACCTCTCTACTGGAGGACCTAGGTGACATGTTGGTAGATGTTACTTATATTCTAGGGGTTGATTCCTTGTCCATTCTTTTCCAACCATCGTTCTTTCCAAAAACCAGATCCGTTTTCGCAGGGTTTCCGCAAATTTTCTTAACAAGGATCCCTGGAAAGAATGGAAATGGAAGGTACCCCTAGCAAAAGGAGAACACAGCCACAGCCACAGCCATTTTGAGGGTTGAAAGACACACCTCAAAAGGAAACGCCTCGAATTGGGTGCTGGGGATGGATAGTAGATGGGTGTGGCTCAAAATTAAACAGGAAGGGTTACGCAGGTTTTGGTCCATGTGTCCACTTACCAGGGTTCCATTGCGGTACCGGTTTTTTGAGCCACAGCCAGATGACATTGGACACTCCCATATAGGCCGCCTCAAAATTTTGTGTTTGTTTCCAGTGCGCACTAGATGACGTTCGGGGATCGCAAGGCCACACCTACTTTTGCTGCCATGAAACTGTTTGGTAGGGCTACGTAGCAAAAAACAGCGCAAGCAGGTGGGTAAACAGGAATTGGAAGCAAGGCGGTCAGAGCAGAAACAAAGTAACAACTGTTTTCATGCAAGCGTGCCTTTCAAAAACCAGGGTAGGCATGGCGGGGCAATTCATGTTTTCCGCTGCAACACAAATTGACCTCAACATGCCCTCTCCAGTTGCTTCTTTTTCCCTGCAAGGAACAAAAGAAAACTACCCCCCAGCCTAGCAACAGGCACCTCCCTCCCTGGGCTGTCCTGAAATCTGCTCTCCCGCTAACCGTGGTGGCCTAAATCCGGAAACCCAACTACTAAACCAACTAAAAAGTGCATAACATTTAGAGAGGCCAGTGTCCCCAGCGGGTGTAAAATACACACAAAACATGTTTTTCAGAATGGGAAGTTTGCATTTTCTAGCATTGTTGGAAAGGGTTCCAGCACTGCATCTGAATTTTTCGCAGCCTGTTTGCATCTCCTCCGCCCTGTGTCCCAGCAATAAGGGTTCCAGCACTGCATCTGCTTCTTTCGCAGCCTGTTTGCATCTCCCCCGCCCTGTGTCCCAGCAATCGTCCTTTTCATCATGGCCTTGGAGGCAGAGGACCTGACTTTTGAGAACATGAAGGGTTTGGTGGAGGGCCTCCTTTGCCGACCCTGCGATGCAATTTGCACCGCTGAACAGTTCCGGGGCAGCTTCACCATTGTCACCTTTCCAATGGATGAGCTTGCGCCTTCTGACAACCCGGTCTCGGGCGTTTGTACAAACAGGCCTGCGACCAATCAGACTTGCAGCTCCTCCCTGAGCCTTTCGGCCTGCGGACCCGGTGCCCCTCCAACACTAGGCTGCAGTTCGTCATCATGAAATGCAACGACGGTTCCAAGGCCATCCTCAAGCACTTCACCTTCCCGGACAAGGTGAAGGCGAACATGTTCACCAAAATGGTCTACGCGCCAAGTTCATGGCAGGGTCGTCCCCCAAGCTGGGAGGGCATGCCTTCAAGTGCTTGGAGCTGAGCTCCCAGGCATGCCCGAAGAAGGCCAAGTCCGTCATCAGATTCGAAGACAAGGAGGATGAGGAAATCGATGCCGGGTTCGACTTCATTCTCCAGAACGGGCCACGGTCGTCGTCGGAAAATCAGCAGCTCCGGTGGCAGACAAAACGCTCAGGGATCCCAACTCCCCTGTCTACGGGTGGCCCGTGGACAAGGCCCTGCGGAATCTCGCGGCTCTTTGCAAAGTAATGATGAGTACCTCACTGATGCGGGGAAGAAGGCCTATGGAAACTTCAAGGCGGGCAACAAGGAGCTCTCGGCCGGCTTTGAGGAGGGCGTGCAGAAGGAGCAAGAATGGGTGAAAGCAGTCATGAGAAAACGGTACGCGCAACGCAAGGGAGACAAGGAGGAAGCCCAGACACGGCCAGGAGGAAATGGAAGCCAAGGAGTTGAACACCGCACGGGTGAAGAGAGGGAGAGAGCGCACGGAGAAGGACCAGGAGAGTATGTTCAAAAGGGCCCGCGCTTGGAGTCGTGAGCTTCGTGGTGGGGATCTGTGCATCGATCTGGACGCAAGCAGCGAGCATGAGGATGTGGCCGGCCATGGTCAGATTCCGATGGAGGAAGGCGAGGAGGACGTGTTCGAGCACGGTTTTGGCCTCAGCGAGTGAGTGGGCATTGAGTGTTGTATGCTAGAAGCGTTCATGCGCTGTTGTCTGTAAGTTGGCGTTGCACGCGCTGTGCCCGTGGGCACCTCACTGTTGGAATGCGAACAGTGAGAGGCATTTGCGAGGTGTTGTCATCTACGGCACTCTTTTGCAAGCTGGCGAGCGAGACAAAAGAGTATGACGCGCAACGCCTGCACTTTGTAGCAATGTGCTGTTGAGCATGTCACGCGCAAATGAACTTGGTTGACCAACTGCATGCTTTCAGCTGCCCATCCAGTAGAATGCAAGCGCACCTGTAGGGCAAATCTAGGTCAGATGCCTGTGCAGAAGCGGCCCTCGATGAAATCTGCGCCCGTGCCTGTCTTGGAGACGCCGGGTGATGAGAAGGTCAAGCCTCCAATTCATCACTGCGTGGCTTGCAAAGTCAAGATATGTGTTAGGCTGACTGAGGCACCCGTGTTTTGTGGCTTGACTTTCCGAGCCATCTGTGACACCAATCATTGTCGAACCACTCACAGGGCAAACTTTGCATACCAGGACGGTGTCAAGGTGAACGCCCTCTCCTTCAAGCAGATGCAGGACAGTGGTGTCTACATGGAGAAGAGCCGCTTCGGGTTCTCGATGAAGTACTTGGGGCTCTCCTTGCTGAGGTTTTTGCGTGGCAACCTCGCGCCAGGGCAAGAAGCAAGCGTGCGCTCCCTACTTTCTGAAGACGATGACCGGGCCATCACCAGCACCAACTTCCAGTTGTACCTCCAGCGTGCGCTCGAAGGGTTTGCGCTTGCCCAGAGGAACAAGGACAAGGTTGTGCCATTTGCGGTGGACAGGCCCGCTGAATACATCGCCTTCACCACGGACCCTTTCCTCTTTGCCACACCTGTCCCGGTCAAGGTCCTAAGCTTCGACGGTCACTTCGGGCTGCACAGTCGCCTTCACCCTGACCACGAATAGAACAGTGGCGCCCTCGGACACGCCACCGCAAGGACCAGCGCACTTGCACATGCGCTAACTAACAAGTCTCGGCAACGGCTGCCACTCAAGAACCGCACCGGTGGCTGGCAGTTTGTTATCGACCCGGACTCGCGCAGAGTGTTGGCGGCCAAGGAGCATGTGGTCAATGAGTGCCTCAAGGACAAGGTGGAGGTGGTGCGGGCTGCCCTGTCACTGAAGAAGGTGAACGCAGATGCCTTGGTCCACGACGATGCCTGCCACTTCGAGACCTACATTGCGCGGCGCAAGCCTTTGAAAGCCGCTTTCAAAGCCACCCGTTGCTATGTGATCGACGAGCTCCATCGGGCCAACCGCAAGTGCAAGAAAACCAAGCTCACGCCTGCGGAGAAGAAGCGCGTTGCGAAGGTTCGCACCAACGTGCCCGAGGTCTTCAACTTGTGGATCCGGCGGAAGAACTTCTGCTTGAACAGCATGAATGCCTACAGCCATCGCTTCTGGGTGCAGGAATCCACCAACTTTTGGAACAACCACCTGCGCGAGATGCCCCAGATGATGGTCCGCCGCACCAACACCACAACTCGCAAGCGACCCGCTGCCGCGCAGAAGCGTCCTGCAGCCGCGCACAAGCGCCCTGCCTCGGCCATTCAGAAGTGATGCTACATGCTCTCTGTAAATCCAGACGCCTGGGTAGCGTTGGGGAACCACACTGTCTCTAGTGTGCGATTATAAGGAGCATGGCGGCAGTCAATGTCTGGAGAAAGTCTTTGCGTGAGGATTTCGCAGGGATTATTTTCCAATGTCGAAAAACAAAAAAACTCGAGGAAAACCAAAGAAACAAACAAAAACAAAATAATAATCCCGCAGACAAAAGGTATTGGATGTGCCCAAAACATTTCCCTCAGGACTTTCTTTTTTGTTTGGTTTTCCTCGAGGTTTTTGGTTTTGTAGCTGGGAGGCCCTTTGGGACATTCTTGTGGGCTGTTAGTTAGTGCTGCACATGCTTTCTGCGATCTCTCTGCGTTTGGTAAGCGCGAAGACAGTCAGGTGGTAAAACCAGTGTTGAATGTCCAAGGTCCCAGAAAACCCACCGCCGGCATTGGTTTCTGAATATTTATAGTTAAACCCACCCACCTTTCGCCTAAAAGTCAAAACCCCCCAGGACCCAAAGGCGGGAACCGCCGGCTCCGGCGCGTTCTCGATGTCCGGGGGATGGGACTCATCCGCCCAGGTGGCCGGCTCCATCAGCGCCGCCCACAGCAGCTGCTGCAGCGACCTCGCGGAGCTGCCCGAAGCTGCCCACGGCGCATTCCACAAAATCCAGTTCACACCACGCAAGAAACCCTGGAAGGAGTCGATTCCCCTGTAAATACCAACAAATCCTGCACCACACAAGCAACCCTGGAATGATTCGATTCCCCTGTAAACAGGGCTCCCGAGTTGTTTCCCCTGAAAACCTCACCCCCGAGGGATACTCACCTTTCATGGGCCAAAAAGGTGATGTTTAAAACCACCAAAAAGGGAAATATAGGAATCGACCCCTGGTAAATACCAACCAAACCACTGGATTCGACCATGGTTTCAAAGTGGTGCGAAATGGATTTCGTCCATCCACAGGGTGGCAGTCGGCCCCTCTTTTGTAGGGTAACCCCCCCCCCAAAAAAAATGGCGTTGGTGGTGTCCTTTTCTACCCCCACCAAAATCATGGCTTTCCTGTTGGAGTCCCTTGAAAAAAAAAAAACAAAAAGGCCAAAATCATGGGTTTCCTTTTGGCTTCCCTGTACAAACCAACCTCAAGAGGGTTCCCCCCCGCCAAAAAACAAAACACGCATCTGGTAGACGCTTGCAATCGTTTTTGTCTGTGGCATGGCATCAATCGTCTTTTTGGAGGGACCTCACATTGTGTAAAAACAAACTTAACTTACCCCTTAAAACTCCGAGCCCTGGGGAAGTTAATCTTTTCCAGACATATAGCCCATGTTACCCAAAAAGTTGAAAAGTTGTGTTTTTAAGAGGTAAGTTAACCATCAATCGTTCAACCCATGTGCCTGCTGAACGTGCGATTCGACTGTAACTTGCCTGTATTCGAACTTGCGCCCACTTCACCCAAGCCTGATGCTGGCCCATAAAAACACAGGCTCATCACCCATGCGAGAAATGGTTCCTTTCAGGTGATCTGTCTGCCTGACTCCAAAAAGACAAGTGATTTGACAACTGCGTCGTCTTCTTTTAGGGGACCGCACAGCTGGTGTCCCCTTAAACTAACCAAGAACGGGGTACCCTCACACAAACACACGCCAACAATCATGCCAAACAAGCATTATTATAGAATTCTTCACTCAACTCGCCAAATGTCTCTTGAGCGCGGAAGGCGCGGAATTTATTCGCCAATGCAATCGAGCACATGGCTCCCACTCCGAAAACAAGCCTGATCCGAAGGTTTTCCTAGACTTTGAGATATTCAATGTGCGCAAACACCTGGGATAGCACGCCTCCAAGCTGACACAGGTCGGTCCAGAGATGGCGCCGAAACAGCACGACCGCTTCTGACAGCGTGCAAAACTCGGGTTTCGGGCCGGTTCGGAGCCTTGGGTGGCCTTCACAGGATGCGGTTTTCGTTTTGAATGGGGGAAGCCCAGAACAAAGGCAGCAAAAAAACCGGAGCGGGGTGTCACAAGGGACACCACCATCTTGGGGACTGAGTTTGAACCCAATTGCCGGGATTTCCCACACCTCGCCTCTGCTTCAACGCGTGCAAACGGTCAGCAGCGAAGAAGTGCAGAAGCAGCGGGATGCGGAGGTAGGGCGCCGTCAAAGCGCTCACCACCTCAGCTTCCACCGAACTTTGAATGTTCGCAAAACAAATTGCAGCTGGTCTCGCTGTTCCATTTGCTTGCCATGTGCGAGTTATCGGCCGGAAACAACTAAGCCCCAGAAGTCAGACCCTTCAAGTCTCCTTATGAGAACATTTGCTGAGGACTTGAAGGGTCTGACTTCTGGGGCTCAGGTTTCGAGTCGGACTTGGCGGGTAATGACCTTGAGGACAAGTGGAGAAGCTATCTGAAAACATGGGCAACCGTTCGCTACAGTCCCAAGCTCCTCAGATGACTCAAATGCCCGGGGAACAAAAAGAAGCAGCCGCGCAACAAGACAAATTCTGGCTCTGTTCCAAAAAAAGAAAGTTGAGTTGTGGTGACGAAACTAAAAGATGCTCTCTTGCAGGAAACCATCGCCCCTGCTTTTGGTTTGACTCGACCAAAAAACTCCTGCCTCACCTGATGCCGACTGTGTCAAGACAATAGAATATATTTTTTTGTACGGATCCAACTGAAGAATTGTCCGGCAATTGCGTGTGGACGTGGCCTGCGAAGCAGGAATCAAATGTCCCACACAGTTGTACCCCGAGTTTCTCAATCCTTCACAGCTGACCCCAGCTGGCTTGAGCGCACCGGTTGCCAATGTTCTCCGCCGAATGTCAGCTACAGCACAGACGCTGATACAAGGGATTCCGAACAGCTCAGTCTGCGATGTTGCAACAGCAGCAACATAAAATTACAAATATATGGACAAAAAACTCTGCAACCTCGAGCAGCTTGAGCAGCTTGAGCAGCCTTGAGCAACCTTGAGCAACAAACCGAAAACATGTTAAAGTGCCGGTCTGAGCCACATACTCAGCCTCCTCTTGGGCAAGAGCCTGCAAAGCCGGGCGAAATCCGAAGTCACCCAACACGCTCCCGGCACGCCCCCAAGAGGCCAAGGTCCAAGGTATGTGTGGTCCTTGTGAAAAAAACAACTTGAAGCACAACTTGCTTTGAGTAATTATCAATTGGACGTTGGGCATTCAGAAACCCTCCCCAAATTGAACCTCTATCGAGTATGGGGGGATGCAATCGGTTGGTCACAAGTGGGATCTCATGGCAATGGAGCCTCCACGTGGCACGAAGAAGATAGCATATCAGTTTTTCTCCCTAGATTGCTCAACCGAACACAAAAGGCTTTTCCCGTCAAGCGCACTTGTCCGTTGTTCATTGCGCCGTGGGGGCCTGTTTGTTTGATATCATTGGCGGTGCCCGGACCCCGCTTGGCAGTTTGCGCGAACCGGAGTGAGCGGGGAATGAGGCGACAAGCATTGCGCCCACACGGGTAGAGCCCAACCACCGCTGAAAGCGTCTCACAATGGGAAGCGGCGACTCCAAGACTCCGGCAAAGTGTGGCAAGCAGAGGCACCCAAAACAGTAATCAAAGAAAAGCTCGACCCGCCCGGGAGAAAAAAGAAAGACAACGAGTTAAGAGGATCCGTATCGATAGCACTATGACCATCTCTCCGCAAAAGGTGGCACATGGGGACTCTCCAATCGGCTCAGAAGGCGCAGCACTTAGACTACAGAAACAAACAAATCCGCCCGCGCCTTACCGAAATTTGGTAGCGTGGGCGTATGAACCACATCATCCTCGGTAAAGACCTTGTCCAAGCCTGGCGGTGGGAAAACAGAAAGGTGCGGTGAGTATTCGCAAGCCCGCGAAATGCTTGCAAGATGTTTGTAGTAATTTGTTTGCCTCATGCGAAGGTTCAATGACAATGGAAACAACCGAGTCATGGTTCCAGTCATGTCTTCGGAAGCTAAGGATGCAAGCTAGGGCCTCCCCTTGTCTTTCGGCCTATGGCTCTTCACAGCATATGATGTCCGCCTTTTTTAGGGCACCCAGAAAAAAGGGTTGGTTGAAAAGGAAGCCAAAAGGAACTCAGCCATTTGGATTTGAGACAACCCCATGTGACATGCTGCCCGAAACGAGATGGCCACTTTTTTGGGAGTACTATGAGTACTTTGGACAATACCGCGGGTTTTGGTATTCCGAAATGAGCACTTCTGAGCAGGAGTGTGGTCTTGAAGCCTGTGCAAGAACAAGTCGGTCGGCGAATAGACAGTAGCTGCACTGGTGCTTGCGTTCACATGACAAGGAAGGCTGTGTTCTAGGCAGTGTTCAATGTAGGGTTCAACCCTCTTCCGCGCAATGGTTAGCTTGTATCATATTGATCACTACGCACAACACTTGTGCTCCAAAAACACGCTTTAAACAACAACAGCCCAAGCAGGTGCTGAGATTGGACGAACTCCTGCACCGTTTCACCCCACAGCGAGTTTCTCTGGAAGCCGCATCATCACCTTCCGCTCCCCTCTCCAATAAGGACGACTAGAAAGTAAAACGTTGCTGGGCTTTCGACAATGACGGCAACTGCGTACAGCACGGACGTATGTTGTCCAAGACTGTGTCCATCAACTCTACTCTATCATGAGCAATGAGGTTTGTTGCGTGTATCGGCACAACCCTCCATTTCAATGACCATATTGTCTGTCAGCCAAACAACTTTGCGCTTAGAACAAATATCAGAGCGATATGCGACATCGGTCGTATCAATACCAAAGGCCAACAACTTCGAACAATTGTCAACACCTCCCAAAAGTTTTAACAGTCGCGAGAACTGTGGGGTGCATTGAGTTGTTGGATTCGATTCGAACTTGACTCAGCCACTTTGTCTCGTTGATACTAGCTTGCCGCTTTGCCCGATTCCCTCGAGTCTAAGCCGCGCTCAAGTCTTCCGGTGCAGAACCAAAGGGGCTCCGACTACTTCATTTTAAACATTTGGATGAGATGTGTCTTTTTCCCCCAAATAGCTGAAAGCTATAGGGGTTGGAAACTTCGAATAACAAGGGGAAAGTGATTTGCGAGATTGACGGCAGGGTGCTAGGGGGCATGCAATTTGGGGTGCTGGTTGATGTGGGCGCAGCCTTGCGAAATTAATGGCAGGGTGCCAGGGGGCATACCCTTCAAGGTGCTGGTGCAGGTGCTGTTTGAGGTGCTGGTGACGGTGTGCTGCTTGAGGCGCTGGTGACGGTGCGGGCGCATGTTTGTGAGATGGAGGCAGGGTGCCAAAGGGCATGCAGTTTGGGGTGCTGGCTGTGCTTGTTTGGCGATGCAGTCAGGGTGCTGGGCAGGGTGCCACTGAAATGTCCCATGCTATCTGGGGTCTATGCCGGAGTAGTCTAGTTGGTATCTCCCTGGTTTTGCGCCTTTCAAGGAATCCTGTAACCAATTTGGGGAACGGAGCCCTCAGAAACCAAGGCGCACGCCCCATGAAAAACCCGCCTGTGGCATGTGGATCTGCGCCGGTCCGGGCCACAAAGCCTGCGAGCGCACACCACGGCCGTTCCGCGGCCCACGGGGCGGTTTCGAGGGATTCGGGTTTTCCGTGTCAGGTTTCGCTACCCAAGTCCCCGCGTGCAAGAGTCGAAAACTGGGGCCCCTGAAAGGAAAGTCATGTGTCGGCATGTTGTTGCCCTGGGGGCATGGCTGTGAGTCAACAATAGTTACCCCAAATAGCTTGCGCATCCGATCCGATCACAGGCACATCCAGATTCACGTGTTGCATCGTGAGCAAAAATCACACATTCCGCCAGTCGAAGCTGAAACGGCACCATTCTGGGTTGCAACGGTACCTGTACATGTGCAAGAGTCCCGATGAGGATCCACACCTCTACACTTGCGCCACGCTTTGGGTTCCGAGCACAAAAATGGGGGGTACTCAAATTTCGGCGATCAGATCAGCTTCGCACGGCTTTCTGGAGTCGCTTCTCATATGAACGGGACCACAACCCAAAACAGCCGCCCGATTTAAAACTACGTCTTCATTTTTGTCCGGAGGCTTCGAAAACAAGAGATACTAGGTTCTCCAGTAGAGGGGTTGGAATAAGGGTACCCATTTTTTCTAGTAGTCTATTCTAGTAGGGGAACCCTCCCCGAAAAAAAGCCGGCAAAAGTTGGCACCTAGCTGGGGGATCTAGGATAGCAACAAATTTGAAGTTCCGGCATTTCTTTCAGAGATCGCAAGCTGGCTTGGCACAAAAAGCATCCACACGCCACTTGGGCGTGAAGAAATGAGCGCCCTGCGCCCTGAAATGCGCCTAAAAAAGAAAGGCAAACGAAGAAACGCCTTGAAAGACCATAGGTCCCCCAGCTAGGTGCCCTTTCTCACCAACTTTTTTGGGGGAGGGTTCCCCTACTAAAATACAAAATACTTCGCTTCGAGCAACCCCCATCTTTTACACTCACGAGTCACGAGCTTACGACCGTGAACACGGTTGTGTGAATTCCAGCATGGTTTTCGAGTGGCTTGGGGCCTATGACTGCTCAACAAGCTTTGCAGTGAGAGCCTTATCCACCTGTCTGTGTGTCAAACCCCACTTGTCTGCGAGCCCATCTCGAGAACTCAAAATCGGTTCCGTTATCAAAAGCCAGGCCGCTTCCAAAAAGAAACCCGACGGGGGATTAAACGAAGTTGCTTATTCACAGCCCAAAGCAACACAAAAGCATCACCCTTTCCGAGCCTCAGGGCACACTCAAAACACGAAGGCAACCAACATGAAATGTAAACCCAACTGTGGGCCGGGCGGGACATCAAGCAAAACCAGACTGGCGAGCTGCTCTGCCGGGATACTGGCGGGATCCACTGGCGAACACTGGCGAGCCGCTCCGGCTCGATACTGGCCGGATACTCGGCAGGATCGATCCACCGGCAAGGGATACTCAGCGGGATACAAAGCGGGATCCACTGGCGAGCTACTCTGGGATACTCAGTGGGATCCACTGCCGAGCAGCTCTGGCGGGATACTCGGCGGGATTCACTGGCGAGCCGCTCTGGCGGGATACTCGGCGGGATCCACTGGCGAGCCGCTCTGGCAGGATACTCGGCGGGATCCACTGGCGAGCTGCTCTGGCGGGATACTCGATGGGATCCACTGGCGAGCTGCTCTGGCGGGATACTGGCTGGTGGCGTGGTGTAGAAGCATCGCAAACGCGCATTCCAACATAAAATCTAACAACCCCTTCCTGTCGGGTGGGGAACAAAAAAGGGTTCCCTTATTCTAACCTCTCTACTGGAAGACCTAGAAGAGCCCAGTCGCCCCAACCCCGGCGCCTTTGCTGAGCTGGTCAAACTTGATGGTGTTGTGTAGCGACTTCGGCTCGCACTGGCACCCGCACGGTGAATGGCACTGAAAGTGGACACCGCAAGTTACTCGATGGGTCAAATCCACGAAGACTACCCCCACCTCATTGTTTAGTTGCTTCTGTTTTGTGAAATTTGTGTTTTCCAGAGTAAATACCAACTCTTTTTGTAAGGGCTCGACATCATACACTAGAACACGGGTATTGGGTGGTAGGGGCAAAGGAGCGCCAGAAGCAAATTGCATGCAGGAGTGCTTCGAAATGGGCAGTACCCAAAGTACAAATGTTGAACAAGCGCGAATTCATGCCTCATCATTGTAGCAAAACGGTTTGCTGTTCCGACACGAAACTGTTCCGTCAGACTGCCTTCATGTGCTGCCGCCCCTGTTGCAATCTTCGATGAAAGGGGCAAACGCCCCAACTAAGCCGAACTGGCAGTTTGAATTCAGAGCAGGGGATCGCAACCTACTGGCCGCACAGCCAGAGGCAAACGTAGATGTCTGTGGTAGGCTTCGTTCTTGGGTCCTGTTGTGGTTCCCAACGATGGTGACAACTAGACTCTAACTTGTCAGCCACTCTTCACTCCAACGAACTGCCTTAGAGCCCACCCACACATGGCACTCCAACCCCTTGCAACACCCAAACAAGCCCTGACCAAAACGCCCCAAGCAATCCCCGCACACCCGCTTAACCGATCCTAAGCGCCAGCCAACTCAGCCGAACCCACTCCACCAACAACCCCACCCCGGCGCACTCCAACCCACCCCCAAACCCAAGCCAACCCCACGGTGCACCTCATCCCCAAAACCACTTTGCAGCCCCAACCCCTCAACCCCAAACACCCAAACCCCACCCAAACCCCACCCAAACCCAAAAACAACCCAACCCTGAAACCCCACCCCCCAAGCCCAAAAAGAACACCCCCAACCCCCCCCCCCCCACCCACACCCCCAAACCGCTCCCCCCTCCGTCTCACGCCTTCAGGATCTCGCAGGGCTTGCAGTAGCCCACGTGCCACCGGATCTCCGCGGCATCCGCCGCGAAGACGCCCTTGAAGTTCCTGACTCACTGGCAGTGGATACCTCCAGATGGCTATGGGTCAAAACGTACCCCCAGTGAACATCCCAATCCAACCACTAAAATAGGTTCTAAAATGGGTGGCGCACCTACCCCAGAATGGTACCATTGGTGTTGACCCACGACCAGATGGGTGTCTAGGTCCTCCAGTAGAGAGGATAGAATAAGGGTAGCGGTTCTTTTTAAGCTGTAGTGTATTTTAGGGTTTTGTTTGTTGAAAAAAGAGGTAAAAGGGCACTACTGGGGGACCTAGGTGTGCGTCTTTCTTTGATGGTACCCCTTTGTTGGATTTGTTTGGTGGTTTTAGAGACAAACCAAGAGGAAAACCACCAGTGTGGCGGGGTCCCCTAAAAAAAGGACGCACACAAATACCTTGGTCTCATGCAAACCCAAATGGATGGGGTCCGTGAACAAACCAATCAGTTGGATATGTTTGATCCCTTATGATAATTTCGTCTGGCAGTGTATCAATAACTCCATCATACTCGGAATCTATCAAGATTGAAATATGCTTGGCGAAGAAAAAAAAAACAACACAAAAAACACACCCGAAGACTGCACATTTGGAGCCGTGCCGTGGAGTGAAATAGTGATTGGATGCTTCAGTTTTTCAGCCACCACCTGCCATTTGCTTAAGCCCCTGGAAAAGAAAACAACTATTTCCAGTAGGATAGATTCCAACTTTTTAAGACCGACAGGGGAAAATAACAAAATATAACAAATATTCTTAAGCAAATGGAAGCCACCATGCCTATCACCAACGAGGCATAGAACAAAAACCAGTTTCCCTGTTGGCTCTCATGCACGTGGATCAAACAAAACACTTTGTACCCCACAGCCTAGACAAAGCAACGAACTTCGCCAGCCACACTTGGCGTAGAAGTGAAGGCTTTGGGGGCAAAGGAAGGACACTGCCTTCAATGTCTGGTTGTGAATGAGTTCTGGAATGCTGTCTCATGCTGTATGTGTTTTAGTCAGCGCGAGTTGGGACGAGCAGGGACTGCCTTTGTCTACGAGCAACGTACGATGTATCCGCACCACAACTCCAATGTTGTAGAAAAGAGCTGTGCTTGACAGGCACCTTCAACAAAAAAATGGCATCCTAGAACTCTTCGCATTCCATCCTTCTGGCGGACATCAAACAAATCGTAAAGAAACGGCTTGCAGAACACAAATTGGAATGGACACACATACACAAACGCAATATTCAACTATCTACGTTTTTGGCGATTTTGTAATTAGATGGTACAAGAAACAAATTGCAACTAAATAGGCTGGCTTTTCAGGGCATGGCCAAACAAATCAGATTGAAATTGATCGAACGGGCTGTGGCACAACCATCCCAAGACCATTCCACCCACAAGCGACGCTCGCGTGGCAATCCCCTCCCTATTCCGTCAGAACAAGATTCCAACCTTCAACGCACAGGCTTTGCATCCGACTGTTTCATTCAGGCAGAAAGTTGAAAATGACAGCATCCCATTCCGCGCACTTCGTTGACAATTGCTGTTCTTCGCCCGTCAGCTGGCAAGCACAAACTTTTAGCCCAAGGTCTCATCTTGCGAACGACCCCACAAACACAGCCCTCCAAGATCCAGTTGCTTGCTGGAGAGTGTGTTGCTTGGCGGGCTTCCTAGTTGTCAGTTTCTTGCTGGTTGGAGAACTGGATTCTTACCCTGCAACCTGAACCCACTCTCGGGAGCACCCGGAACATGATACACACATCAGGCCGCAAGTGCTTTGAACAACTCGACAGGGAAATACTATCTCCAGTGAGCGGCTCATGTGTCACAACATGCCAAGCGAAAACACAAATGCATGCAGAACAGGGATAACATAGAGACAAAGATAATAGGACATAGTACGGTAGCAGGCACGAGTGGGTTGCCCGTGATTGTTTTGCGTGTTCCCCAATTTGCAGGCCATTTCATCGCTAAACGCTCAAATCGGCAACCTTCACAGCCTGCAATCTGTGAATCCCTAAGGCTTTGGGACCCGGGCCTCTTTCCTCTTTGCTTGCTGGTTCGATAGGGAATGAGACATGGAACGACCCTGAGATAAACCATCCCCGATGTGGTGTCCTTTAAAATCATCCCCAAAACTGGTTCATCCTCAAAACCCGGAACGGTCATTCCCTGCCCAACACCAGCAAATCAAGATGGGTTACGGGTCTCACCGTCTCATGGACCCCTTAGGATCAAGACTTACACAGACCTCTAAGGAATGCATCTCTACTCTTGGTATGGTAGCAAAAAACTCTATTTTTTGCAGACCCCCAGTAAAAATGAACAGAACCAAAAAACTAAAAACCAAAAACATGCCAAGAACAGCGAAGAAAGCATTCTGCTTTTGCCGACTCCGCATGTTGTAGCTACAAGTTCAGCTTTGGAGGAACGGGACCAACCAAAATGGGACCCCAAAACGGTGTTGACCCACGGCCTGAGATACTTTTCACAGGTGAATGGCGGTGGATCTCCCTGCTGCTTTTCTTTCTCTCTGGAGTGGATGCACTTTTGGTGGCAGGTTTCCCCAAGATCACAGACAGTACCCAAACCAGATTGGACATGGCTCAAAATTAAAGAGCTGGGGTTATGCGGGTTTTATTCTTTGGTTCCATTTACCAAGGTGCCATTTTGGTACCACTTTTCTGAGCCACAGCCGATTCGACGTGAGCAGTCTCTTGCTCACCCACAGAGCGAGGGGATTTTATCGGGAAGGAGGGCCAAGGACCTTCGCCCGCCTGCTGGCAGGATCCAATGACATGTACTTGCTCCAGACCTGAGAACGGAGCTGAAACTTTTTTGGCCTCAAAACAAATACACAACTCAAATCTGGGCTGTCCGTTTTCAGGTCCCCTGCTAAAAGCTCAACTTGTGGGTTAAATGGAAACCCATCCACTAAACCAACTAAAAAGCTACAAATCTAAGGGGATGGCTGGGAGCACCAAGAAATGCATCGGTCAGACGTCAAACTTCAAAGGCCAAATGCACTGAATCTGAGCTTACTCAAGCCACCGCTTCCTGTTTTGGGTCATGATTGTTACGGCTAAATTTTGCAACTCACTCGGACGCAGTTGGCATCCTCGACGAGAGCGGGATCCAGGCGTTGAACACATCCGCGTGGGTTTACACACACGCCGGGTCCAAACATCTGCGGGACAACTTGGCCAATCCTGGACAAGAGTCAAGATTGGTCTTTGCAGAAGAACCAATTCCATGCGAATATGGAAATGTGCTTGCTTCCAAACATGCAGGATGCTTGAGGTTTCCGGTATTGATTGTCCTCGCTGTGCGAGCAACACTGTATGGCTTCTGTATGTTGGGAATGTGGGTCCCTATCCGTCCCGATCCCGCCCCTGGCAGATGAATCACTGCTAGGGCCAGGGCTATTTCCTTGATCCATGTGCAGCCAGATTGTACGATCATAAGGCTTGAAGCAGCAAGTTCAATGTATCGCACAAACAAGTGAACAACTTTCCCGGGTAAATCACAATTACCAACGCAAGAAAGAAGCAGAGCGATCAAGCAAGGCCAAGCGGAAAAACACGTGAACAGTTTCTGTACCACGCTGTCTGTGATGCACTGGCCGGAAAGCTATGCTTCTTCCGGAAACCTGGGAAAAGGGAGCACCTTGCAAAGGCAAAAAAACCGGGCTGTCAAGGCGCTTGGGTCGATGGTTCTCTGTTCCCTTCTGTCGCTTCCTCCGACCAACTTCACCAGGGCTTTGGATAAGGCTCCCCCTGGCACTCCAATGTGCAAGTCGAGTGCAAACCCCATCAACCGGAAACCAACCCCCGGCCGGTTTCACGCATTTCGCAAAACACCACGGCTGTCCCGTGCCATGCGCAAGATGCGAGGTCTAAGCCAGGCGCGCAAATGTCACGCCACCAGTAGAACTCCGGCGCCCGCTGCTTGATGGGCCCACCGGAATTCAAAGCCCAGCCAAAGGGGACTGTCCACCCCGGCCAGTCCTGGCCGATTTCCAGGCCCGAACCGGGCAGGACGACATCTTCAAATTCAGTGGACGATCACACGGACAAAACAGGCCTTGGCCCAAAAACAAACCAATCTGAAGCCAGTCTTTCAAAGGGTAACCGGCATCAATCATTCCTTCCCCATGCGTACCTTACATAGTCAGTTAAGATTCTCTTATGAAGTCCCAGGTCACCAGGGGTGGGAGAACAAAGGCCTGACACGTGCGCGCGAGGCCACCTTGTGAGTTCGTAGCAAACCAAAGCTAAGCACAACAGAATCAAAGCTGAGTCATCTAGGTATCTAGGTCCTCCAGTAGAGAGGTTAGAATAAGTAGTCTATTTTAGTAGGGGAACCCTCCCCCAAAAAAGTTGGTAAAAGGGCACTACTGGGGACCTAGGGTGAGCTCGACATCCACACTTCGCAGCTCCGTTCGACCGACCATGGCGCATCATGCGCACTCATGTTGCATTTTCTACCGTGAAAAAATAATTACAGTACTTCCGCCCGGGGGTCAGGACCCTTCCCGGGAGACCTCTGAAAACACCCGACCCCTCAACACCTGGACTTTCACTAATTACAATACACGTCGTGGGGATCAAAGAACTTGTTGCTTCCATGCCCCGCACCTTGCCAGCTGTCCCGGCGCTATCATGAACCTAACAAGCCGAACCATTAAATTAATCAAATAAGCAGCAATCTAGCTCAAGCAACAAATCAACCTAGCAAAGCAGGCCAAGCTAACCAGCCAATCAACCAATCAACCAATCAACCAACCAACCAACCAACCAACCAACCAACCCAGCAAGAACCAGCCAATCAAGTGAAATTTGAAAGCGACCGCAGTCAAGCGACTCCTCGCTGTGGGCTGGCGGCAACTCGGAGCTCATAATCCGCAAGACCTTTCTGGTGAGATCCATCACCAGCTTCTGCCTCAACTCCCGGCATCGGCTCAGGGTTCTAACTAGGTCCAAACCAGTAGAGAGCTTAGAATAAGTTGGTACAAACTCTCTTTTTTGGGTGTGTAGTCTATTTTAGTAGGGGAACCCTCCCCCAAGGGGACTTCTGGGGCCCTAGCTAAGTTAAAAGCGACCCTTGTCAAATCTAAGTCGCCTCAGAAAGCCTCAGAACATAAGCTTCATCAGCTGCTTCCCTTTCTGTTTGACAGGCTTGCCCCGCGTCGGAAAAAAAAAAAAGAGGTCCAACACAAATCAGCTCACGCCAGCGGCCCAGGGCGGGGGATCGATCTTTCATTCGGAATGCTTCAAGCGCTGCTTAGAGGGGCGATCGGGGACTTAGTGAGTGGTTAGTAGGCCTGGTTAAAACCCACAAAAGCCATGGTTACTAAGTGACCTAAGTGACCTAGGTGGGTTAAAACCAAAAATGATGTGCATCAACAAACATGGCACTGGCGCAGGAACAAGGTATGTCCTATATTTCACACAGACAGAGACACACAAACACAAACGCACACAAGTATACAGGCACACAGTATTCAGGCACACAGGTAGACAGGCACTTACACACACATGGACACATAAACACGGACAAAGGGACATACATGGACGCCCACAGACACACACACACAGACACAGACAGACATGCACAGACACACGCACACACACACAAACCTACACAGAAACACGCGCACACAGAGACACAGACACAGACAAAGACACAGACACACACAAACACAAACACAAACACAAACAAAAACACCCAGCCACGCACGGACGGACGGACGGACGGACGGACGGACACACACACACACACACACCACACACACACACACACACACACGCACACGCAGGCTCGCGAGCATGGAGGTACGCAGGCATGCACGCGCACACACACACACACTCACATGCGCTCGCACAATCTCTTGCTCGCTCACTTTTGGCTTGTTCGCGCACATCCTGGCAGGCTCACTGACTCGCTCACAAACTCGCTCGCACTCGGTCTCTCACTCTCCCACTCTTCCACTTCAGTCTCACTCTCTCACTCCGCTACTCTTTCTCCCTCCCACTCTCTCAGTCTCACCCACTGACGCTGATGCACAGTCGTAACCGCTTGTTTATTCATCACCTCCAAATGCAATGCTGCCACACACACACACACACGCACACACACACACAAACACCCACAGACACACACAGACACACACAGACACACACAGACACACATATATAGACACTCACATACAAGCAAGCAAGCCCAAGGACACTCCCATGCACTACATGACAATGAATATGTATTACACTACACCAATTCGAAACAGACAACTGCCTGGACACGTAATCTTGCTTCTGCGGCTGGCTTAGGCTTACGCTCGTCCCTCGAGGGCATCACTTGCAAAGATCTTGGACAGTGGCACACTCAGCGTGTCTGGGCCCCACACGTCGCGGCCAAACACTTCGCGTCGAACTTCAAGCCGTTCCTAGGATCGGTGGCATGGATCAGTTGCGAACACAGCGCCGGTCTTGTTCTGACAAAATCAGTAATTCTGCAAAGGGTGAAATGATGGTTGGAGCCTTCACTTGTGCGTCTCACAGTGCGGCTCGTTCACTTGCTGCGTGCGTCGGTTCGCAAGGGTAGTGAAACTCGGCGGCACCCCCTTACACTCCCGACTCCCAAATGCAGGTGCAGGGGACCCACAAAACGATTCTTTTTGCCTTGGCTTCCCTCTAAAACCACAAGAAAGGGGGTACCCTCAAAACAGACACGCCCATATGAACGTGTCACTTCGGCCCATGGGTGTGAAAAGAACTGAGGCCGCTTTGATTTGTTGAACAAAATACGTGGAACGACCGTTCACCCCAAAGAGGCCTGGCTGGCCGGCTTGCTGCAACTTGTATTGAACCGCAAAGTGCCGGCACCACTAGAACGAATGTCAAATACAACAATCAATACTTGAGGAGCGGGTGAACGAAAGCTAGCAGTTGTTGCATGAGATGGGTCGGTGACAGAGTGGATTCATAGGTAGCTTGTGTACAACGAGGGGCCCGGCAAGATTCGTAGGATGCGACACGCAAACGCACATGGTGGCCTTGAAAAATGAAAGCAACGAGAGGCGTCAGAAGCTGTCTTAAAGCACCTCTGGGTTCTGCATGCAGCGTGTGCAAAGATTCTTGCGAGGTGGTTTACCGAGAAGACTGAGGTCTCAAATGAACAAGCTGAATCGGTGGAACATGTAAAAGTTCGTAGCACCAAGTCCAAAACGGGCAAACCGAGACTGCTGAACACTGAGCCACTGCCCGGGGGGGGGGATGGACCAGGGAGGAATCGAGCCTGAGACCCGGGAAGGGGGGGAGGGGGGGGGGGGGTCTAAATAATTGATGTTTTTCAATCTTTTCGGCTCAAATAATTGAAAAAATCAATCTTTCGGCATTTGAGCCCCTTACCTTGCTTACGCAAGGAGAAACTTCAGCTAGCTAAAGCTAGCTTTCGTGACATCAAGTTTAGACAGGAAGACGCCAGTTGCGTTTCTAGATTCCGGGGATAGCTTCAATTTGCTCAAGTCCACTGGCAAAAATATATATTTCCAGTAGTGATAGATTCCCTTTAAAGCCAATACGAAAAAGAAACACAAAGAGAGGAAAACACAGCAAACAAAAACAACTTAAGCAAATCGAAGAGAAAGCACAACGAATCACCCGAAGTCGCCCCGGTCTGGTCTTTCTGCCTTGCCCAAACACATGGCTCCCATAACAAGAACGCATGGCCTCCCCTATGATCCGCCACGATAGCTTCAACCTGGGCTATCTCTTGGCCGATTAGCAATCCTGGATGGTCCAGCTTTGAACAGGCGCCCAAATGGCAATGGGTCAAGAGCCAAATCGTACCAGGGAACATCCGATTCAATCCAACCACTAAAAAAGGCTCGAAAAGGGGTGGTGAATTTACCTACCCCAAAATGGGATCCCATTGGTTTTGACCCACAGCCAAACAATTCCACCTGCAATTCTTCGCCCGAGGGAGGGCCTGACACGAGACAGCGGCAAAAATGCAAATGCAACAACTGGGGGCCTAGTAGCCTAGGGCCGGGCCATGGCCAAACCCCTTCACGAAGGCAACTATTAAAAACGAAAAAAGCATGATTCCCGAAACCACTCGACAGCTGCTTTCTCACAAGTCTGGCCTTGGGCTTCCACACAACGGCAGACTTTTCGCGTCCAAGGTAGAGGTCTACCCCCACAAGCGGCTTGCGGATCCTCCCCAGTCCTTTTGGTAAAATAGATGACCCTGGTCACTGGTACATGGAGTAAAGCCAATCCAAACCAGTTCCATCTATTCCTAACTAAATCTACCTAAACTAACCTTTCCCCAGCTGTCCTTTTGGTATGATAGATGACTCAACCATCCAAACCATGTCCACCTATTTTTAGCTAAATCTACCGAAACTAACCCCAAACAGGACACCTATGATATCCTCCCCCCAATCTGCTGCCGTGTTTCAAGGATGTATCCCAAATGGACTCCGATTTGGCGCCGGCGGGATGCTTTTGCAAAGCATCTCGCGCCTGGCCGTGTGCAAAGCGCCGAAAGTCTCACAAGGCTAATTCCCAAATCACCGCCACCTTAGGGGGAGGGGGCGGTCTAATTGAAAATAGATCCTCTTTTTTTTTTTGGGGGGGGGGGCTCAGTATGGCTAGAACTCAGCAGCACTCCTGCTTTTTACCAAAAGTATCTTACTCACTTCCGATCGAGTGGACGGACCAGAAAAAGTCCAAACTTTTTATTTACCACCTACATAGTTGTCTCAAAAAGTTTAAAGTGCAGGAACTCAGGAAGTGAGTGCTAGGGAAAATAAGCTTGAACCAATTCCCACGAAATGGCGGGTCATCTACTTTGTAACATCTACAAAATCGACTGCAGTGTTCAATCATCTCTGTAACACGGCGACTTGGCCAAAAGCAGGCAGTCTGGCAGTCTGGCAAATGGGGAGGGAATAAAATCATTCTCTGCATCCCTATTCATTTTTCATTCATACTTGACCAGTCGGTTTACTCATGTTGTGCTATCGTGGTTTTGCCGGGCCTCTGTCACAACGTGTGTGATAAGGATGGACTCCGGTGTTTTATTGAATTCACGTAATTGAATTCACAATTCACGGCTGGGGTGGGAAACAGGGCTCGTTTGACGGCCCGTTTTTCTTGTCTTAGGTTCAGAAGATTCACTCCTGGATCCAAGCAAAAAACACCGGGCCCTCGAGCGAGCCCTGTTCAATGCCCCAGGCGTGAATCAACAAATTTGAGCACTTGAGTTGCTGGGCGTTGATCACCATTTGGCCCGTGAGAGTTCCACCTGTTGGATGAGCATTATATAGAGATACGTACTTTTCATTATACTTCACAATCTCCGAGTTTCCATTTCAACGCGAACAATGCACAGCCGTGCAAAAGGTCTATGCAAGAATGTCCAGCCCATGGGAATGATTGTAGCAGCTGCGCGATATGTTATGTGTCTGCGTTTCGACACGCCGACATGTGCTGACTGGGGTTATGGACCAGTTATGGACGCCTTCCAATTTTAGGACACACACACACACATCAGTCCCTTCAAGATTTGATTTGGGGGTTCCTTGTGCATGCAAAAGGGTGGTTCGCTTCAAAAACACCGCTCCAAACGTAATTCCTTCTACATAAACTTGTCCTTCCAACAAAAGGGTGGGTGCAGTGACATGCCAAGAAAGAGGATTCCCTCCAAGAGGATCCCTTTGACACCTTCCTCGAGACTACCCTCGGACATGTCAGTGCGAGGGGGCAGCGGCTGTGCATGCATCAGGAGGCTTACGCTGAACCAGATGAAAAGTAATTTGATTGAATCGTTCTGTTTCTTCCTTATCAGCACCGGCGTGTTTGTATATTAGCCTGCTGACTGGTTTGATTTGGACCGAGCAAGTGAGTGAGCAACTTGCAACCCAGAAAACACCCCCTTCCATCCGACTCCTTTTTCTGCGCCGAATGCACATATTCTGAGCTTACATTCTTAAAGCCCTAGTCTTTTGTGGATTCACGCCCTCTGCTGGAAACAGGAGTGTTTTTGAGCCAGTGAGCCGACAGAGTCCGACAATTGATGTGGCTGTGGCTCAAAATTAAACAGGAGGGGTTACGCAGGTTTTGGTCCATGTTTCCACTTACCAGGGTTCCATTTTGGTACCGGTTTTTTGACAGCCATGTTGCATGCTTAAAAGTTCATACTCCGGGGGTTGATCACTATTCCTGGCCTCGAAACGATGGGTCACAACTGTCCCACTTCGGTGGTGCAAGTCAACGTGTCCGGGTGCTTCCCGCAAACGCAAACGGTCATCCCATGTAGGAAATACGTGTTGATTCACCCCCAAACCTACTTATAGGGGGCGATCAAGGGTGACTTAGGGTGAAGTCACCCACGAAGGCCATGGTTATCAGTCTCCAGTCAGTGGGTTATCTCACCAGGCTTCCGATCACCATACTAAGTCTAGGTCCTCCAGTAGCGAGGTTAGAATAAGGGTACCCTTTTTTCTGATTTCAGTAGGGGAACCCTCCCCCCAAAAAGGGTAAAAGCACCACTCGGGGCCCTAGAAGTGCAATGCCCCTCTAAGTATGCTGGTGAAGAAGCCGAAGGCCACGAGGACGACAAAGGCAGCGCTTCAGATCTAGAGCTTCAAATCTACCTTTCAGTATGTGTGCCTTTTCGCCAGTACTCGCTTGGTGTTACAGGGAACAGAAAACCGACCACCCCATCGCCCCTCAGATTTCTCGGCTCCACGGCTCGACCCGGCGCGAGCCTCTGCCAGCAAGGGCGTGGACATTGGAAGGCCCTCGCTGGCGAGCGCCGCGCTGCGGCCCTCGAAGGTGCGCGATCGATGAGCGATCAGCCCCCAAATCAGGGGTCGCTGGAGGTTTTTTGAAGGAAAAGTTGATCAATTTACAGGTGTCCACCTGAAACAGCCCCACTTTTGGAGGATTTCCCCAATCAACAAGTTGTTTAATGACTAAGTTGCAGGTCTTCACCTGGGGAAACTGCCACTTTTGGAGGTTCCAAAAGAGAAAGTTGTTCGATTTGGAGGTTTGCCCCGAAACTGCCGAACTTTTGGAGGTTCCAAAAAGTAGGAAATGGCTCGGAAACCCTCTGGCATTCTTCGTTGGTCTTTCCAACGATACACAACTCCCCCGGGAACATGGTGGCTTCCTAACATCCTTAAACATGGCTCATTCCAAACGGGAGTGCCTGAATTTAGAACGATGCATTGCAGAATTCATTGGGTCCGGTGGGTCTCTCAGGATAAAGTGGATATCTGTCAAGAGTAGAGACCCGTATTTGCCCCCCCCCCCAGGAATTCATCGAGGAGTGCCGGAGGGCCGGAGATCCGACTTGCAGCAAATTGCCGCAGGAGAAAATCGATCCCCCGCGCGATCGATTCCCCTGACCCCCAGCATGTGCGGGACTGAAACGGCTATCGATTCCCACGGGCGTGCGAAAATTGGGCCCTCCCTAAGCCAAGAGTCAGTACCAAAAGATTGAAAGCTTCCCCCCCTCCTCCGTCCAAGATAGTCAGCACCCAAAGGTTGAAAGTGTATGGGAAAACACGGGCATCTATCATCTGCGCGGCAGCAAAGAAACGGCAAGCCCAAGCTTTCGCCCGCCTTGAGATCGGGATCCCCTGGAAGACTCCAGGTCGGCCTGCGTCGACATCCCTTTTGCGAGTGGACCCGAGGCTGGAGGGTACCCAAGTTCTGGTTGACCACAAAATGCTTCGATCCTCGGGGTCCGCGCCCAGTAAGGCGCCATCAGGAAGACAACCAGTTAAATGTCAAGCGAACTGTGCCCAGGCGCCATTCCAGTGGTCCAGCTTACCCCCACTAGGTTCCAGTAGAGAGGTTAGAACAAGGGTACCAACTTTGTTCTGTAGTCTATACCCTCCCCCAAAAAAAGGGTAAAAGGGAACTACTGGGGGACCTAGCGCCCAGGCTGCCCAATAACGACCCATTGAGTCACTAAGTGCTCCTGTTCGAGAGCGGAAGCAGCGAACACGGTTATGCTGATCATTTTAGCTGAGGGAAGCAGTGTCGTTTAGTGTGAAAAGGCGTCTCCGTGCAGCACCCTCCCCTGTCCCACTGTCCTCCCTGTGATGAGGCTCAACAGTCCTATCTGCTGTCCAACCCTTGGAAACAGAATGAAACAAATAAACATGTACATAAATGATATATGTATATATATGTTCCAGTCCAGGCCACCAACCCCCCCCCCCAGAGTTGGCTGCCCCCCACCCACCCCAAGAGGAAGGGGAGGGTCCACGGACTGGAACATATGGCCATGGGTCAAAATCCCGTACCCCCAGTGAGCTCACAAAAATAGGTTCTAAAATGGGTGGTGAATTCACCTACCAACCAAAATAGGATCGCAAAACGGTTTTGACAACCACAGCCATATATACACAACATGAACAACCCTCCAGTAGAGAGATTAGAATAAGGGCACCTTTTTTGTAGTATTTTAGTAGGGGAACCCTCCCAACCAACAAAGTTGGTACAAGGGCACTACTGGGGGACCTAGGGAACATATACACAGAATTAATATGCACAACAAGGCAAGCCATCAGCTCAGCGACCCTCCGACAGATGTCCAGCCTGAAGGTCTCCACGTCGTCGCCACCCATGGGGCAAAGGATGGCCTGGGTGGTGGGCAGCATGCCATCCGAGGCCGGCGTCCTGACTCGCCGGGAAGTTTGGGATCCCATTTTGGTAGGTGCACTACCAGTCTATTTTAGGTACCCAAAATGGAACCCTGGTAAGTGGGACAAAGGACTAAAACCCGCGGTACCCGGTGTTTCATTCTTGACCCATACCCAAATGGCCATGGAAAACCCTTGGGTTGATTCAACCACATTCCCTACTTCTCCCAGCGGCAAGACTTTTCACCGATCACCCCGATGGCCGTGGATGGCAAGCACACCAACTGCATCCGTGCGAAGCAAAGCTACTGGTTCGGCTCTTGTGGCGAGATGAACCGCGCTTGTGACGGGCTGAGCAACATTCAGCTAGAATCTGGGGGCCGGGATATTGGGGTTCCCTATGCAAATAAACACGTGCCGTAATGTGTGGGAGCAAACCAAGTCACAGCCCGTTCGCAATTTGCATGATCACTTGAAGTGAAACATCCTGTTCAGGACGAATCCTGACAATGTGAGTACATCTGTATGTGAGTCACAATCAAAACCCGGTACTAAAATGGTTGACCCAGAACCATGTAAAGAATTAAGAAGGCGGATATCCGCAGCTGTTTATGGCAAGGGGATTGTCCCTTACTTACCTTCATCTACCCAGGTTTTGAGCAAGTGGCTCATGTGAAACCTGACTGCTGCCTCCCTTCGAAACACTTGAACTCACAGCCAAATTGTCATCCCGTCTGATGTGCTTGGAAACCAATAGCAAGGGCAAGCAAGTACTACGGGAGATGTCAACCAGTTTGCTGCGCGGAAATTGAAAAACTCGCATGGAGTGGGCCTCATGTTGCAGAAACTACAGTGGATGGACAAAATTGCTCTGGTTGGGATGGATGAAACATGAGAAACCCCTGTGAATTGTGGGACAAACATGGGTAGACCACGTACTATCACTTGAGAGAGATCCAGCTCAACTTTCAAACGCTGAAGTGGCCAAATGGCTTGCTGGAAAAAGTGGATGAGACACCAAATGCCTCCAAAAAGGTTCATGGAATTTGGTTAAGACCCCTGGATAGATTCCCTTTAAAACCAACAGGGGGAGAAAAAACAACTTAAGCAAATGGAAGAATCCCTTTGGTCTTCCCCCTCCTTCCCATGCCATGTGCATACAGACCCATCCGAGCGGAACCCGCATCGATCCGGAATTCCACTCTGCTCCTGAGAGTCTCCTCGTAGGCAACGTGCAAAGACCTCGGCTCATGGCTCAGAACACCAAGCACCCAGCACCTCGACCCATGCTCAGAACCCCAAGAACCCAGTTCGGGGACCCGGAACTCAAAGGTGATCACCTTTTGGCGCTATGACTAAATGTGGTTGCCAAAATGGGACAACCAAAAGGTGAGATCCGGTGGATTCGCTTGGAACAACTGAGCATGTGGGCAAATCAATCTAAGTCACAAACACAAACCTGGACAAACATATCCCCCAAATGGTGAGTTCGTTTTACAATTTGCCCAGGCGCACGAGGTGCCACATTTGGTCCCCACCAAAAGATGCTTCGCCATGCTATGATTCATTCAAAGCCAACAGCTTGCCAAAAGGATCTAGACTTTATACTGGCAAGCTCTGACACATCGGAAATCAACAAAGGGCATGCTTCCCTGGGTTGACACTCGTGAGTTGTGGACCACCCCCTCCCCAAAGCCCCCCTTGAAAGTCCATGATTCCCCGTGTGTCATATGGCAGTCATTGACATGAATGTGCAGCCCTGCATCGCCCTCGGCGCCTCGAACGAAGTAGCAGGTTGACGCGTCTTGCTCAACGCCAAACTCTGCATGGACATGGCCTGCACAATATGGCTGTGGGTCAAAAATACGTACCCGAAATGGAACCCTGGTAAATGGAAACAAGAACTAAACCTGCGGTCCTCTGGTGGATTCATTTTGACCCATACCCATACAAGTGTACATGAATACGGTATCAACTGTACATGATCGCATAACATATGTATATCTAAATTAAATCTACTATACACATTCAACTCATACATATATGGTGCAAGTCTATGCACTCATGGTTTATATATTGCTTATGATCTGCACGCACCTTGTATGTGCGTACACTTAACTATGTCTTTTTTGGTGCAGTCACGTACTCCGTGTATTCGCAACCACGTATACACATTCAGCGTGGAACATACGTCTGTCTGTTCAAACATATTTAAGTTGTAACAACATACCTGGGCTGTCCTCAGATCCCCTGAAAGTCGAATCTCTTCTAGTGGGTCAAATGAAAAAAATAACCGCCACTAAAACCAACTAAGAGATCTAAAACCTAAGGAACCGGATACTCACTTGCCCAAAGGACCTAGAAATAAAAGGTTAACCTTTTCGAACCTTTTCTAAAAATGGACCAAAATGGGAAACCCAAAAGGTCAAAAGTTCGGCTTTGGGCAAGTGAGGATAAAAGATCTAAAAACCTAGGAACCGGACGGCTGAACAAAGTGCCCACCCTCAACGGTCGCGAAGCCCGAAGCCCGCCATCCGGGTTCCGATGTCCGGGCGAGGGGCCGCATGGTGAGCACCTCCCATGGCAGGCCGAGGGCAGGGAGACGGTTGGTTCAGCTCCCGAAAAAAAAATGCAAGCCACTGAATTCATGTACCCTCCCAGCGAACATGGGTTTGTGCACACACCCCTGTAGAAAGATGACTTTCCTCTGGGAATTGTTTTTGTTGCACTTCCAGGTGGGTTGGTGGGAGGGTACGTAAAATTTACCAACATTTCACACATTTAGAGGGTAAATGTGGCTAGGTCCTCCAGTAGAGAGGTTTGAACAAGTACCATTTTTTGTCAGTAGTCTATTTTGGGGAACCCTCCCCCAAAAAAGGGTAAAAGGGCACTACTGGGGGGACCTAGTCACATATTATTTAGAGGGTAAATGTGGGTAAATACTCCACATGGAGTGGATTGGAGGGGCTAGGAAGGGACCACTTGCCCAGCTCACAGATCCACGAATGGAGCTGTCCGCCCATGGGTTCCTCCCAGATCGAACACGGCAAACTGAAAACTTCTGTTTGGTTAACGCCCCATGAAAACAAAAAAATCACGAGTGATGAATTCCTGTTCAGCCCAACAAGGGAAAATAATAATAACAATAGAAATAATAATAATAATAATAATAATAATAATAATAATAATAATAATAATAATAAAACACATTTTCTGAAGCAAATGGAGGAAAAGGTGCCGCAACGGAAACAGAAGAATCCGGCAAGTGAGGCAAAGGAAGCCTTCCAGAAGCTTGAGGGGGTGCTGGATCACAGACCAGTGCGATACAGTATACACGTGCAAAATCCATTTCGCACCTAGGGAATCCAAGGGAAGTTCAACTATGCGTTCATCAAATTGACTGTTAAATTGATAAAATATTGTTTGTTGATTGTCAAAGTGTTATTTTACTTTTGAAAAAGCAGGCACCTGAGACAACATGCCATCCTTCACGAAGCTCGCGCTTTGTTTAGGGCTCTATGCGCTGAGAGGTGACATGACATCTACCTGTACTGCTCTGTGGGCCATACCAGGTTAGCAATGACATGCAATGACAATGGATGGGCCCAGGTGCCTGAACCCAAGCAGGACGGCTCCATTCTGCTGACCTTCCACTGGATAACCTGCACCGAATTGAGCTTGCTTTGGCGAATGGATGGAGTCTAGCTCTTTTCCTGAAAAGGAAGAAGGAGCTACTGGCTACTGATACTGCGGAGCAGGATGAACAGCCTGACCTTTGAGCATATGGCGCCGCTTCACCGACACAATGCCAGTCCCTCCCTCGGTTCCCTCCAAGTTCCGCAACTCAAATACCCTCCAAACAAACATGATGAATCGTACAAACCCTGTTTTTGGCAGACTACTTTCCAGGTTTGTTCACTTCCATTGTTAGGGGTCGCTGGATTCCCCCAAATCAAAAGCTGACCAATTCTACTGGCGCTTGCCCTTGAAACGATCGCCACTTTTGGAGGTTCCCCTTAAAGCTGGAAATGGCTCGGAAAGCTCTGGCATTAAGAACGATTCACATTCATCGACTTCCATAGATTTCTTGGCGAAGCTATCCCTCCCAAAGCCCTGGCATAAAAATCAAAAAAACAACACGGGGAAAACAAAATCTTACCCCCCCCCCCCCCAAAAAAAAACAAAAACAGATCCCAACCGAACCCAGGCCCCCCCCCCAAACCGAAGCGAACTGAACCGCTGGCTTTCCGCGGGGCCTGCGCCGCAATCTGCTCGCGGGCGGTTTTGCTGGAGGCGCAGGCGGCCACGTAGTGCTGCACCAAGCGCCAGAGCGCCCCCAGGAGCTTCTTCTGCTCCGCCATGTCCTTGGGTCTTGACTGCTGCAAGCCCTCTGGTTGGTTTCATCCCCTGGACTGGTGCAAGCCGATCGCAGAAGGGTCCTTGGATCGTTGCAAGGACCCCTTCACGCAATGGGAGACGTCCGCCTTGGTGACTGGCCCGGCCTTTTTCAGGGGCCCCCGGGGGTTTTTATTTCCTGGTGGTCTCAAATTTATTCCCCTCATTTCCCTGCATATCTCACACGGAAGTATTGATCAACCCCCAAAATTTGTTCATCCATCCTTCTTGCTGGCGCTTTCTTTGAAGATATGGCACGATCTAAGGACTTGACCCCGTTTCCGAGGGCTTGTAAGAGTCAAGATGGACCCGCAAGTTTGAAGATATGGTGCAAAGCGATCCAAGGACCTTCTGCGATTGGCTTGCACCAGTCAAGGGGATGAACCAAGTCAAGATGCCTTCAGAGAGCGTGCACGGGTCAAGATGAACCAAGGACAAAGAGATGCTGGGTCCGAAGGGGTCCTTGCACCGTATCTTCAAAGCAAGCAAACTGATCGCTGCGAGAGATGAAAAGAGAATGAGCAGCTTGAGGCCCAACCAACCAACCAACCAACCAACCAACCAACCAACCAACCAACAAAACCAACCAACCAACACTTAAGGCCCCCCGTTTTGACCAAGGCAAACTTTTCGCACTTCGTGGGATTGAATCGGTTTTCGGCCCCATGGGGCTTGATCAATACTTGCTGCGAGAGATGGGAAGGAGACATGGAAACCGAGATCAAGCAGCCAACTGGTGGTTTCACATTCTAATTCCCTTGACCATAGGAAAATGCTGGAAGCTGAGAGATAAGCTAACAGGAAACGGTCTGGGATCAACATCATTCATCTCTTTCCGCTTCCTTTCGGGACGAATCCCCAAAAAAAGGTCCATTCCATTTCTCACTCCCTGAGGTCCTCAGGCTTGCGATAGGGAATGATACCCCAGCTTTACCATGGAAACTGAGGTTCGGGAAATGGCTTCCTTGGAAAGGAACATGGTCCAATCCAGGACCCGAACGTCGAACGGTTCCATGTTAATTGGAGGATACGGTAATTGGAATGAACCCAGACATCCACTCAAAGGATACCCAATTTAAGGGTTGCTTCTGGGCGCCCATCAAAAAACACACTCGGTTTTGGGGCTTCAAGCCAGGTGCTTCTCAAAAGTAGGGACCCCTCCGGGTGATTGGTTTCCTTTGGGTTTCCTCTAACTTGTTGG